ATTAAAAACTGTAACAGTTGAGAACATGGAATGTGTAGCAACAGGTACTGCAAGGAATAACATTTAAAACATTAATGTTTTGAGTCATACATGTCATATACTAACATACTTCACAGATTCAACTATACTAACTTCAATGCGTATCAATGTTCACCTTTGGGGATCCATTAACATACAACATTAACTATAATGATGCTATATAAATTTCACATAATTTGGCAATGATGCATACCCCTATCATAAATATTTGACATCTTTGGATGTCCAAATGCAAGGAAATATGCCAACAATACCAACATCCATGTTCATTTTATAAAACAAATAATCAACCTTTGGGTTGATCCCTAACTGTTCTATAATAATGAACTTCAATATACCACAACATGAATAATTATATCATACTATTCACAACATCACAGTCATGGTAATTGAAATAAAATTCATAATATTTGAAATTAAAATAACTCTTCAAGATTTGACCACTTTAGTGACTAACAAATCTACCATAATTAATTCCAAAACTTCAATATATCATAAACAATAATAGGATTAAATTTTCACATTTAATTTTAATCCAACCACGTCACATAAGCATTTACGGTTTAGAGAAATAAAAAAAAATAAAAAAACAAGTTTCCAAACCGTGAAGGTTGCAGTATTCCAAAACACGAAAATCGAATGGCAATATTATCCATTAATATGTAAATGGAAGTGAAATCCAAAGCACTGTTACCGAAAACCGAATGGCAATATAATCCATTAACCATGATGCACAGTTAATTGATTTCAAGAATAATATGAAATTCAATATCATTCACTTTTTCGTAATACCAACAGTGGTTCACGATTTCATTCAAATCAATTTAGGCTTTTTTGTCCATAAGCACGAAAACCGAAAAGCAAACTCATATACCAAAAGTACCAACTTCAAACATCTAAATCCTTTTATCTGAATGTTGATAGTAAATCTTATAATTGGCAAAACCGAAAATGTACAGTGCATAAAACCAAATGGTTATTGCCTAATACGTGAATGACGTTGTCCAATACGTGAATTCCATTAATGTCTTTCGTGAGTTTTTTTTAATAATAACCGTGAATTTTATTTTCAAAACCCTAACTTTTCATGAATCAGAAATTCATTCATAATTATTTATGGAAAAACACAAACCCTTAAACACATGCTCTGATACCACATGTAAGTTAATTTCATCAGTAAATCAATAATACATGTTCAACAATGATCATTCAAGAACATGATACAAGATCTTTAGAATTCATAGTTTTCACATAAGGGTGTACCTTTCTCCATTAGTGCGGAAGAACTTTGATGGTAGAATGACTTTCTCAGAGTCTTGACCCTTTTCTCTACTTGTATCTTCTTTGACAGTGATTGGATACAACTATGATGGCAGACAATGAAGGAGAGTTTCTCTGAAGATACTGTTATCAGAAAACTACCAAAAACTCTTATAATAACTGAACCTGTCACCAGTTATTTATTCATAAATAACTTCCCAACTCCCTTAAACCGTCAATTACCGTTATGCCCCTTTTATTAATTAAATCAACTGACACATAATATTACACCTGAGACAAATAGTTTTACATTTCCTCCCTAAAATTAGGTGAGATAAAAAAAGTAATGTATAAGAGAGAAAATAAAAAATCATCAAATATATATATATAAATCTTTCATTTTATTAACATAATACCAAATTATATCATTTAAATAATAATAAAGGCTTTTGTATATTAAGATAATCGAGGCTATAGTGTGATCAGCTGCTATCTTTCATCACTCTTAAATCGTTTAATAATTTTATATTTATGATTTTTTTTAATAATTATTTATTAGTTTGATTATTCGTGTTTAGCTCTATAAAAATTAAATTATTTATTATACATTTGAAAAATATTACACATAAAATTCATGAGTAAATTACTACATAATTTTACATTAATATAATTTATATAAAATAATTTTTAATTTAATAATACATTTTGAGATAAATTTATTACTTAAAACATCATGAAATAATGTACTAGTAATCCTAAGTTACATTATTATTGAGTAAATAATTTTTTTGGTATTTAACAAAAAAATACGAAATTTATTTTAATTCCTTAAAAAAAGTGCTCATATTAGTCTTTTTTAAGGGACTAACATAGGTATTCTTTGATTTTCAAAAGAACCATAATTTCAAAGAAATAAAATTTTATAGAGACCACAAATCTAACTTTTTTTCCTAAGAAATTAAAATTGATTTCATATTTTTTATTACGGAGCATGATGGTATTTACTCTTCTAAATCAATCTCCTCTTTTTATAATATTTGTTTGTATTCAATAAGTGAATTCTCGTGATATATTCAGAAATCAATAGTGAAAATTCTTGATAATTATATATTTTATACACATAAATTTAAAGTTAAGCTTAAAATTACGTACATAAACGTTAATTATGATAATTGTTCATTTTTTACGAAAAATTACTTCTGTTTTAAATGTAGAAAACTTTATTTGCAATTTACTATGTTTTATAAGTAAGACATAGTGTAATGACTTTTTTTATTTTTTAATTAGTAGGTTCTACTTTTAAAAAATATATCTTTGTGACATCCTTCTCTGTTATAACTGCAGATCCGATAAACTTTTTTTTTATTCAAGTCGATTTAACAATTTGATAATATTGTTTCATTTTTATCTTTCTTCATAAGCACTGACCACTTAACTGATGTTAATTTCTTTAAAGGTGTGGAGAGAGAGGAATTCGAACCCTCGATAAACAAAAAGGTTAGGTAGCAGTTCCAATGCTACGCCTTGAGCACTAGGACATCTCTTTTACATCATGAATATGTTGCATAATCAATTTGAATTAAAAAAGGAAAAAGTTTTTTCTTTTTAGCAAATTATCAAAGAAACCCCCCGAAAGAGTGATCATTTTGTCACACTTGGCAAAATGGTCACTGCTCCTCCCCCACTTGGGACCTTAAAATAAACAAACTTGATTAATGAGTGTGTTTTTATGTTATTTCGTACTGTATTGTACAATTCTTTTGTTTGTGGGGTTATTTTCTCTCGTGATAAATAATTAAAAAATTATAGAATCAATTGTTATTATAAATTTTTTCTACCAATTGGGGCCCTTCCTTCACCTCCCCCTTGAGGATGATCGTCTACAGAGTTCATAATCTACTTCTCTTACTACAGGACGCTTACCTAGCCAACATTTAGATCTGACTTTACCTAAATTTTTCTCGTTTACCTCAACATTCTCTACTTGTCCGAATGTTGATGAGTAATTTTTGGATATCAAACGAATGTCCCCAAAAGGTAACTTTAACATGGTTGATTTTTCCTCTTTTGCAATCAGTATCGCTACAACGCCCACTGCTCTAGCTAATTGTCCACCCTTTCTGAATGTAATTTCTATGTTATATATGTTCGTTTATCACTACATAATGATAAAAAATTATGACGCAGACACCCATGTTCCAGGACCATACGATCTTGTTACATGAAATGCGCCGAAACCAAAACAAGTCACCACCGCAGGAAATAAATGAATTCCAAAGATTTTGGGTAAATCCAAAGAAGGTCTTCCGGTGCGTCCATCACAAAATATTTCTAGATCCAAATAGACCCAATGTCAGATAGCTGCCAAAAGCACAAACCTGAAAACATAATATGTAATCCGGTCACACCTTAAAAGAACACCCAATAACTTGTTGGGCACTGTACGAAGTATTTGAAATACGAGAAAGAAATACCTTTCGGGCAATATTTTCAAAAGAGTTGCAAAAGGATTCACAGGTTCCCCCATCATTAATGGTTCTTGAACTGCTAGACACACATTACTGGCAATAGCATTGTTGTAAAACCCGGCCCGACCCGACCGAGTCGACCCGAAACCCGGTGAACTGGTCATCAGACCGGATCGAGTCAAGCATTGGACCGGTCATGCATCGACCCGGTCAAACTCGATCAAAATTCGGACAAACTTGTCCAAACCCAGTGACTCGGCAACCCAGTGACCCGGTCGGGTCATGCATTTTCTTAAAAAAAAAAAAAAAAATATCAAAACTGTTTCATCTTATCAAAAAGAATGTAAAGCTCATTTTAAAAACTTTTTGTAATTTTATTTGCTAGTATACTCTTCTGCAATGACCTCTTAGTTTTCGATGCTGAAGCAAATTGTGAAATAATAAATTAGAGAATGTGAATTATGTCATTTTAATGTAGTTAAATTTGAAAAATATGATTTCAATGTCATTGAGAGGTATGTTTATGAGGATTCTAAGTTACAATTTAAATTGACATAGTAATAGCATGTATTTTTATTTATTTATACTTCATGTTTTTGAGCTTATTTAGTGAATCTTGTTTAATTCATTTTAGATATGGAGAATGTAATTGAATTTATATGTTCATATTTATATATATTTTTATATATTTATATATATCCGGGTCAACCGGTCCGACCAGTGATCCATCAGTCCGACCAGTGACCCAGTACCTCGACCGGATCGATACCCGGGTCGGGTTTAACAACACTGGGCAATAATACCTAGAATTACTACTGAAAAATTGTAGATATGCATAATATATCTACATTCACTCCTAAAATGACGTAGTTTTGGTTTGAAAAATTAAAAAATTATAAAGAAAAATATTATTACAACCCTGAAATAAATTATAATTATAAAAATACCTTAATTTTTATCCCAAAATAACATCGTTTTGGCCTCAACGAAGATAATTTATCTATATTGACTGAAAAAAAAAACCCTTATTTTATCTATCAATCTTCAATATCATTATATCATTATCTTGAGAGGAAAGAGAAAGTGTAAAGGGTTAATTGAGATTTCTGATTTAATGAAATTAAAAAATAATAGATAAAATAGGCTTAAAAAAAATTAGGGAGAATAACTTATGGCTAATTAATATATCCATGGAAATGAAATTTTAGTCAATCCTGAAAATCTAAATAACGAAGGACATCAAAAAGGATCATCGCTGTCACTGCCAAGTGGTTTTTGTTTGTCCCAGAATAGAGGTTATGGCGCGAGGGCTAATCCTATTATCTTCGCCAACTTTCACTGCAACTTCTGTATTAGCTTCATTCTCTAAAACCCCACCAAAAAGTTTTAAGCTTTCATTAGGTTCCCATCTTCTACACCATCATTCTCATCCTCAACCTTGCTCTCTTCCATTAACTTGTTGCTTCTGCGTGTCCTCTTCTCCTTCCCAATGCCCAATTGACATGTCCAAATATAGAGAAGTATTTTCCAGGCGAATGGCCATGGCTGGACTCAAACCCCATCACCGAATTGGTGAGTTTTTGGTCTTTGTCTCACTCCTTTAATTCCCAATACATAATGCACCCTCCTCTTGGTTCATGCTAATACGCTGAAAAATTTAACCTTTTTGGAAATTTTTGCTATTTGTTCAACTTGGTGTGTGCCCTTCTTGTTATATTTGTAGTTCATGTCAGAATGAAAGCTTAAAAGTAACATGCTGATAAATTGTTTCATAAAATTACTCTTAACAGAAAAAAGAAGAAACTTTTTGCATATTGTCCATTTGCAAGTGATGCAATGAGTCCACTGGTTCCCTGTATTGTTCATTGATTGTTTGATGTTATCATTGACTCTTTTCCTATCAGCTTTGGGAGTCTCAGGTGGCCCTGACAGTATGGCACTATGTGTGTTAACTGCTGGATGGAAAATTGGTGGTGGTGTTAATGCTGTCAGCACTGAGAGTGGTGGTTTCATAGATGGGCTATTGGCAATAATTGTTGATCATGGACTACGTTCTGAGAGCAAAGAGGAGGCCAACATTGTTTCTCACCGTGTTTCTGAAATGGGTACACTCAAATTTGGCTGCTTTCTCTCTGATTATGTAGTTTGGTAATGTGTGAGTTCTTGAACTTATCCAACTATAAACTTGGCTGACATAGACACTTCACTCAGGAATCAGATGTGAGATTGCTCGCTGTGATTGGCCATGTGGTAGGCCCAAACAGGGTCAGTTGCAAGAAGCTGCTCGTGAAATGAGGTTATTGTATCTTAACCATCTTATTGAGAAAATATTAGATGTCTGTACAGGAACTTTGATAAAGTATACTGATTCCAGATTTTGAATTTTTGAACTTAGGTACCAGATCTTTCAAGAAGTTTGTGCCCAACAGAAGATTGGGGTGTTGCTTATTGCACATCATGCTGATGATCAGGTTTAATTGGCAATACTTTATGTTTATCCATATCTTTGACTCTTCATTCTTCCAGATTATTTTGAGGAATTGCATGTAGGAGCTTGAAATAGTTCTGGCCCATTTGGTCAAAAGTTATTTAGTAACGTCTGGGCATAGATGTTCTGTCTACTTAAGTCAATATTTTGAAGAAGTAATTGATTTTTTGATTGGGAAATGTGGTGTTTTATCATGTATAAGGCTTGTTCAAGATGTTAGACATGTAGTGATTTATGAGAAATGATGCAGGCTGAGTTATTTATTTTAAGGCTTTCTCGAAATAGTGGTGTGCTTGGACTTGCAGGCATGCCTTTCACCTCCCAAATTTTCCCTACTCATACTCATTCCTGCTGTAAAGTTCCAGCAAACCATGGCATCCTTCTTGTGCGACCTCTTCTGGAATTTTCAAAGGAAGATATGTATAAGGTTGGCACAAGATATTTGCTTGTTTATGCATTGTTGACAATTTTTACTTCTCCTCCCATCTGAATGTTTACTTAAGAAATCTAATTATTAATTTTTTTTTATCTTTATAGATATGCCAAGGAGCTAGTGAGGATTGGGTCGAAGACCCAACAAATCAAAGCCCATTATTCACACGTAATAGGATACGAATGACACTGAATACTTTGTCATCTTGTAAGTTGTGATAATGAGCATTATGTATGAGCTCTTGAATATTATTTTAAGAAATTGTTAAGTTCTTCTAGCTGACATTATTTTTGGGTTGAAAGCACTCATCCTTGTTCATCCCAAACTCATTGAATTTTTTGTAAACTTGGTTCTTATACAATGTTGTGCATGTGCAATTATTAAAATAATATCAATATCTGGAATAAAAGGAAGAAAATGCAGGTGGGTCTATTTCCTTAGTCATTCTTTGGGATAAGATTGTTCTCTTGGTCTCTGCCTCTCTTTGGTGTTAAATACATGGATTCTTCTGTGGCCTCTGCTTGGTATTTGTTTGGAGGTTTCACTTTATTTCTGTTTGGTGGCTGGCTTTCTTTTTAGTTTTGTCCAAGGAGGATTTAGGGCCCGTTTAGATGGGCTTTTTTTTAAAAAAAAGCACTTCTCACTACAAAGTCTGTTTGGATGTCTGCTTTAAAATAAAGTAGAAGTCAGAAAAAAAGCCAAAACCTGCTTTTTTTGGAAGCTAAAAATTTTAGCTTCTAAAAAAAGCAGAAGTTAAAAGCCAAATATTTTTTTCAAAATCTAAATAGCTTTAGCTTTTGTAAAAAGCACTTCTAAAATAAGCAAGGTATAAAAAGTCCTTTTTTTACAAGCCCATCCATTTTTTACAAGCCCATCTAAACCCTAAACCCTAAACCCTCTTTTTGTAACTCTTCTTTTCTTTTAATGAAACTTCTTCTAATTTCTAAATAAGCCTTCAGTTTGCTTCAATAGTCAATGGCTCAATGCTTTATATAATTAAAATGAAAAATATAAAACAAGATAGGTTGGAGGAAAATTTCAGAAATAACAGAATTCCTCTGTACAGGAGAGTGAGGGGGGATAGAAGTTAAAAATTAGTAAAATAATACTTATCCAAGTCCTTAATAACACTGATCATTCAGAGTATAAACAAACAAGTAGATTTTAACTTACCTTAAAATTAAGATGACTACCATAACCACTATACTTAAGTTCTTGTTATGATTCCTTCAGTCAATAGGGGGGATTTTTTGGCGCCGGAGGGTGGGGGCTATTTTCTTAAAACGAATATTTTAGATTGATTTACTATCTTCACTCTTCATACATTACTAGCCTCCTGCCATGTCTTGGGGCAAGCACATCACATACTGAGAAGTTGTCCTCTGTGATGTGTGCTACAAATTGAGTTTATTCTAATTTATGGAATAAACTTTGTTGTAGTTATAATTTCTGTGGGCAAGCAAAGGCTCTGAGTTGCTTAAATTATTGTTTTCTTACATTTTCAGTTGCATTCAAGTCTGAGCTCCAAAACATTATTTCTGCATGTCGAATAACACGGACATACGTTGATCAAGTTTGCTATAGCTTGATATGTGATGCTGTAATTATCATGGATGTGAGTATCATTTGACTACTTATTCCATTCATTCCTATTTGATTAACACTTGAAGTTAAGTATGGGATAGCTAATTACCTATGTTGATGTTTATGAAAAATAGTACATATATTTGAAATATCATTTATTTCTTTAGTTACATTATATTATTCTATTTCCCTAGAATTTACTCTTATCCTGTGGTTGAGATTGTGGGTTGGTTTTGTTTGCAGCACGGATATGCCGTTATTGATTTACAGATTCTCTGTCCTTTGAAAATTGAGGACATATGCCTGATGAAGTTTCTTTCCTTGATCTTGCAGGTACTTCTCATTTTATACATGACTATTTTTCTTTTAAACTATTACTTATATGTGAATATTCTTGTAAGTTGGAATATTGGTAAAACATTTTGTTTCAGTTCATCTCGCAAAGACATAGGCAAATCAGAGGTGGTGCTTTGAAATTGCTAATGGACTACATTCGTACTTTTCCATGCAAGGTAAATCTGCTTCCATCACATTGCTTTATTCCTAATAACAGTATACAAGTTTATCACATTTTGTCTTAACTGTATACAAGCCTGAAATAGATTATCTCAGACTATACTGATTTTTTACCTTTCCTGTTAGCAGACGCATTCTTTAAATATTTGATTAATTTCAACTTTTTGACTTTTTATTTTATCCCTCCATTATCCTGTAGAACTCTATTACAGCAGCAGGTTGTTACCTTTGCCCGGATCCTGGTTCTAGAGGGTCCAGAGTTCTGGTTTGCTGTTCCATTGACTTTCCTTTGCCTTTAAAGATGGAATATTTTGAGTCATGCTCTTACAAAGAATTGGAGAATTGTGTTTCCGATGAGTTGGAAAAAATTATAGAGGATGAAAAATCATATGCAAATCGCTTGGTTCCAGATGCATCAAATGTCCACTTTTTGGATGTGAATCCTGAGTTAGTTTTGACTGAAGCCAAAAGACTAAACATAATCAGTGAATCAACCTACAGTAGTATTCTTGTATTGCAGAAGGAAGAAACCACTCGCTTCAGGTCTAAAGCTGAGGCCATTTCTGACTCTGCATCAAAGCATGGAGTTAAAATTGTTAACACTTCTGGCGAATCACTTCAGCCAGGGAAGTTCTGTTACTTCATGGATCGATTTATTCTCACATGGAAGTTGAACAATAAAATTGATAGAGATGCACTTTCTTATTTAGTTGATTATGACATGGATTTGTGTGGGGAAGGCTGGAGCTTTTGTTGTACTTGTGTAGTTGGTCATAATGAAGTACTTGAAGTGCGGCACATGATTGAATCTGACTGGCTGTATCTTGCTGAGTTATCAAAACATCCACTTCCCCAAAACTTCCCAGAAAACGGGGTTTTATCAGTGAGCGGAACGAAGCAGATGATGGAGAAAACAGCTCCATGTTTGCACTATGCCAGTTTATCAGCAAAAAAAGCTCTCCTGTTGTTAAAATCTATCCCAGTTGCTGCAAGGAGAAGCCTGCCAGTTCTGATCAATCAACAAGGACAATTACTAAGCATTCCAGTAAGTTGACATCTCTTTCAGTAGTACAGTCATAAAGACAACAAGTTTAACCTTATTTTTACCCCTTTGTTTAGAAGTTTGTTGGAGGAATTGGTTACACATGAAGCTCCCTGAATATTGATAAATCTTTATAATTATTGTTGGCAAATAATCAGAAAGAAGACATCCTCTCTAATAGTTTAATTCTTTCTATTTTGTAATGGTTAACATTGTCGGCTGCACTTGTCTTTTGGTACCTGACTATGCATTCTTCATTCTTTCAGAGTGTTAATTTCAGGCATTGCCCCTGCTTGATGGTGCATGTGGAATTTAAGCCAAAAATACCACTTGGGGGAGGTCATAGCTCATTCATATAGCAGAATAGTGACATGACACTAAACATCATGATTGCAAGAATATTTTGGCTGTTGGTTCCCCAGTTTGAAATGAGAGAACTTGCTATAACCATCCTTGACCCCTGCAAATTTCATGTCAAAATGGAACTGCATCCATGCTGTGACCACCCACCAGCCACAATCTGCTTCTTACTAAACAAAGTTCAACTTCCACTGCCAGACCTGGCACAAGTTTCAAGTCAGAGGGGTGCTAGAATCTTAGGCTAATGGATGTGGAAGTAGCCAAAGGGGGCATCTTTAGTGATAGGATGTAGAATTTGCAGAAGTAACCAAGCAGCTTATTCAAATTACCTTTTCAAAGTTTTACAAATTAAGCTTCCTACAGGCTTTGCAAGAGTTGACTCATTTACATATTTGCAAGTAACACACAAGCTTATTGCTGATAGAGCCTCTTATGAAACCTGGTAAAGTGGGACAAATGATGGAGATGTCTTAAGTGATCATCATGAAAGACAGCTAACAGGCACTGCAGTTTTTGTTGCTGCTGAATATGGGGATTTCTTAGTTTCTTGTGAATTGCTCCTTCTCAAAGATTCACTAAGGAAGCACGTACAAATGGTTGTTGATCGGTATTGGATACTCTTAGCTTGTATTTTACAAATTTTTTTACTTTTTAGTTTTTTAATTTTATACCAATACCAGTGAAGTACCATAATAATTAGATAAAATAATATTGAATATATAATTGTTATGAATATGAATGCTGATGTAAACTGCATTCTTTAATAATTAATTGTTCCTTCCCATGTATTCACTAAGGGGGCGTTTGGTTGAAGAGAAATTTTTATGAATCATAGGGAAATGTGATCAGTAGGGAAATGATTGAGAAGTGAGTTTGATAGGAAAATGTTAAAATAGTTGTTTGGTTGGGAAAAATTTTACCGGGAAAATTAGGTAACTTTTGTAAAGTCCATGTTTAGCTTTTGGTTAAATATAGATGGGAAAAAAATGCGCTTTTACCAAAATAACCTTGCTTTTGAACAATCAGGCATCACGTCCATGTGTACAAAAAAACGCCGACTTAAAGTGAGGGTAGGATAGTCTTTCGGTTAGAATGCAGTGTGACCAATTAGGTAGCTTTTCACAAATACCACACTGCCATAGGGTTTCTTTTGCCGGTTAAATGGACAGAAAAACATATGCAACTTGGTTATGTAGGAAACTGATTTAGGTAGGTAAGTGTGGAAAATCCTTCAAACAAACATGGTTAGCTTAGATGTCCACTTCTCATTTCCCTATCAATCTCAACCAAATTCTTTAACCAAACGCCCCGTAAAGAAGTAGGGAAACCTTACTGGTAGCATTCAAACAAATTGTAGGTCAATATATTATTGAAACATTTTTTTATTAATGATTAACTAAGATAATTGATGATACGTAAATAATTTATTAACTCAATGCATAACTGCATCAAGTTCATGCAAGGATTTTTCACATTGGAAGTTATTATTTATTTGGTTGATTCAGTGAGTAGATCACCCCATCTAGTCAACAATTGATTTTTTTTTTTATCCTATTTAATAATGCCTGTGTTAAGAAGAGAGGCATCAACACCTGTTGTTGATACTATTTATTAACTCATGAGTTTGGCTATTTTGAAATAGGAACAGCACCTTGTCTGTACGGCCAACTACAGTGGTCAAATACTTTATTCAAGAACAACAGTGATGGATGTTTCGAGTTTTTTTTTTACCTTTGTGGGTCGGTTTAATTTTTTTTATATAAATTATTTATTAATTTAATGCAAGTGAAACACGTACATGGAATGTACCCGTTAAAGTTGCATTTTATCTCAACGTGCGATTTGTGTAGAAATTAACGCAATATAAGAAACGCTTCTTGTGTCAGTGTGCATTTAAATTGTGTAGGTATTCTATTCTCATTTTGCAGAGCACGACATGTGGTAAGTATATTTTGACTTTTGCATAAGTCATGCATAGGATGATGAGTGATTTAAACGCACACATTTCCTCCCACGCGCGTTTCACTTATATTAAATTGATAAATAATTTATAAAAAAATTAAATAGATTATATGTTTTGGATTTTGAACCGGAAGGATCAAAAAGCCCTTTTTGATTAGAAGGAAGCTAACTGGTCACATGATGTTTTTAACTTTTGGGTTAAAAATAGTGTTTGCATTTTCATTGTGAGCATTTATATATGTATGAAAATATTTTTTATGTTATATCAGATAATTTATTTCATAAACATATAAAAGGTACATGTGATCCATTTTTTTTCTTAGTAAGTTTCATCTATTTTTGTGTGTATTGTATCAGATAAAATTATTTCATATAATATGAGAAACATACTTTTCAATATGTTATCATAAAATTAGAGCAATGTTATTCTGCATTCAATCTATCTAATAAGACCAATATATCATGACTATAAGAGCAATGAAAATAATGTGTAAGCCTTATTCATAAATGGCTTTACCGGTAGATAACAAATTCTGAATTTTGATCCTTTGTATTATGCAACGAATAAGTTATTCTACTTATTTTCCTTATCAATCTCTAACATAATTAGATTAGAATTTTAAGAAAAAAATAAAATAATAAATGTTAATTAAAATTTTAATCTAACAATATTAAAAATTAGTAGACATGAAAAATAAATAAATAGGTAAAACAATCTAACAAATAATATAACTGTTTGTGGTTACTCTTTGAAGTCAACGACCTCGTTGGATCCCTTCATTTTAGCAGCTACTTCTTTTTATTTTTCACTTATAACGGAGCAAAAGAATCTTTTTTGAAAAAATAATAATAATTAATCCTACAAAAACTAAAAAAATAATAAAAAAAAGAATCCCTCGTTTTCAACCCGTGCTTTTGTCAATTATTCGAAGCCACCCAATTAGAAGCCCCCACGTAGTCACCAACCTAGGCTTCTATCAGGCCAACGCACACGTGTCGCATCTCAACCTAACTCTTTCCCTTGTATAGTGCTAGTCGCACCTGATAATCCCTTCACGTGAGATAAAAACAAAAAAGAAGAAGGAAAATAAACAATTATGATTAAATATGCATTTTCATCTTTAAATACATTACCTGTGCTCTTTTATTTTTCAACAAATTATTAACTTATTTAATAAAACTTATTTTATTAAAATTATTAGTTTTCTAAATATTCAGCCCAAGTTACTTAGACAGAGGAAGTAATATTATTTTATCCCCCAATTTGTTATTGATTCAGTTGGATATTAGGTTAATAGATTACAATTAATGAATTATTATTCAATCGTTTAAATTAAATTTATACAAAATATATATTAAATATAAAAAAATAATATAATAAACAAAGTAATTTGACATACTGGTTGAACTCAATTTATAACCGATCCATCAATTTTTAACCGGGTTAGAGCATGTACTTGGAGGGAGGGAAGGAAGGAGTATTATTTGTAAGTTTATTGTGTTTTTCACGAATGAGCTTTCTACGTGAAATATGAGTTTTCTGCTCATCTTACGAAGGACCTCCCACCTGTACGGCTCAGGTATGATCCACATGTTGGGATCGGTGGGCTCTACATCCGACTCAGATCCCGATGAAGATGATGACTCAGCCATTATCCTCAACTATATAATATAAAATAACATTTAAATTAATCACATGTAATGCTCCATTTTATTTACAATTTAATTAAGCAGTGACATAATTGATTATCACAAAAATTAAGCATATGCGTCATTTATTTAACTAGAATCGAAATTTATGAAGTCCCGCCAAAACGTAAAACAGTTGTTTATTTGCAATTAAATAATAATAATACATCAGACAAAAATAATATAATACTAACTGAATACTTAACTCTAGGTCACTACCAACTTGTCCAATACGTACTAATCATCACACCTAACTAACTACAAAGTTATGCACTCCCGCATTAATAATATCATACATACGAAATTTACGAAGTCCCTAACACTATTTATAAATCACTAATTAATATGCTAAACCCTAATGCATAATTAAAAATTAATAATAATAACTACGTAATAATAAAATTACTATATCATTACAACATTCATAGCATGCCACAAAATTTCTAAGTGACTATCCTAATGTTCTAAGTCTCTAATATACAATCAATCCTAACATGTACTACTAACTAGCACTGTAATTTAAATGTATACATATGAGGTATTATGACCTTACCTTACGTTGGCAGAGCTTCGCTACGAACCGCGGTTAGAGAGGTAAATGAGTAAGGAGTGAAAAAAGGAAAGTGGGGTAGATATAGGTTGCACATGAGACGCACCCTTTGGGCGTCACATGTGACGCCCCAATGGGGCGTCTTCTCCAAGGGAGAGACGCCTCACTGGGGCGTCTCATGTGCAACAAATGTGTAATTTTTTACAAAACAACATTAAATACGTAATTATTTAATTTAAATACATTATTTTAATTTTTTTTGCCATGAGCAAAGAGATAATGTTATAAATTTCGACACTTAACTAATATGTGAATAAGGTATTGTAAGTATAAATATTAAGAAATGTATGCTTTAAGTATAAATATTGTAAGAATAAGAAAAATGTTATATTTATAAATTTTTTATTTATAAACTCTTACAAACTATATTATATTTGACCGATCATACACTATTGATTGAAGTCTAACTAGTCATACTTAATATAATTGTAAATTTATAAAAAGAAAGTGTATAAATATATAATTCATCCAAAATTTACTTGAGATAATATAATCCATCACTTTTTTCGGAAACCGATATGTACAAAAAGGAGAAAAAAAAATCATTTAAAAAAAATAAATAAAAAAAAATCAGACACATTTATTAGGCTCCTAGAAAATCATTTTTTATTTTTTAATCCAACGAAAGGTAGGAAACGTTTCTATGAATTCAGACCGTGGATGGGTTCATTCTTCGTGGACCGTCCGATGGAAGAGAGAACGAGATCTGGCCGTTAAATATTTACTAACAAAATTGAATTTTCAAAAGCCTGTGAGAGAGAGGGAGTGTGTGTGTTGGCTTCTCCTCCTTCTGCTTCATCTCTTCGACCCTTTCACTCTGCAAAATCGCACTTTTTTTGTTTTTATTTTCATTAATATTTCATCGTTGCTCTCTCTCTCTAAAATCTCTGCAATTCATTTCTCTCTCTAGAACTGTATCTTATTCCTTGACGCGTTTGGATCGAAGAACCTTTGAATTTTCGAAACTGTTCGATGAACTCCGTTTTTGCGTCCCGAGCTGTGCAATCGATGGTTTCTGTTTTTGGTTTGTGAAGCTCGGTGAATTCGAGCTCGTTTTTTTGTTGTTGAAATTATTATGATTTTTTTGAGGGAATAATCACAATCGGTGGTTTGAAGGAGGAAGAGGAATTTCGAATTTTCTGGTTAAAAAATAATTTTATTTTTGAATTTTTTGCGTCTTTCATGGGGGAAGGTGAAGGTGGCGCTTCCAAGAATGTGTCGTCCTCGTCATCAGAAGGAGTTGTTCCGGCGGCGGCGTTGGATGTTCCGGCGAAGAAGCTGGCGAGGCAGCTTGATTTCTCCGGCGTGCCGGAACACTCTCAATTGCAATCGCATTCGCAGCCTCCGCCGCCGCCTCAGACCGAAATGCAGCAACCGGTGATTGTGACGCCGTTGCCGCCGCAGACACCTCATCCTTCGGTTAAGATTGGGTGAGTTGTTGAAACTGTGTGAATGTGGCTATGGTTCAAATGATTTACTACCTGTTTGTTGTTGAAGTTTTTTTTTTTTTTTTAGTAGAATCTTCTTGTTGAAGTTTTGATAGTGTGTTTCTTTGGGAAAACTTAAATTTGTTTGGGAAAAAAAATGGTCTTTTTGAATTCTGGATTGGAAGTTTATGTATAAAGTTCTTTTTTTTTTTGTTTGGTTTTAATTTTTAAGTTAACGTGTTGTTTTACTCACGGGAATCACAGTTTTGTGTAGAAGATTTTATTTTTCTGTCTGAGCTTCCAATGCATGTGCATTGTTCTGGTTTGCAATTAGCAAATAGCAGATTTTCCATGCACATTTAGATTCTTTTTCTGTTTCCTTTTCTCTTTCACTCTGATTAACGTTTTGTTTATTGCCTTATATTGGTCTGCTGTATTATCTACTTCACGTGGGAAAAAGATGGCGGGAGATTGATAGGAAATGAAAATGAAAACTACTAATAGGAAATAACTAGATGTATAGATACTGGGTTTGATCAGTGCACCGGTCTCAGCTCAAGGCTGCCCAAACCAACCTGAATATTCTCCTCCCTCTTCCACTCTCTCTCCATCCTCTTCTGACACACCTCCCCTAACCTTTTTCCCTCCCACGCAACTACCTGCTTTCCACGTGCCCCTTCCTCTACTGCGAGTGTAAACCCGCATTATTAGAGGTCCATCAGAGCTCTAAACTGTTTTTAGGGGCTTGCATTAGATAGGAGCTTTAGAACTGTCAATTTTCTTGCAAACATAATTTAGGAAGTTGTTTATAGTAATTTCCATATGGGTTTGGGCTTTCAATGGTGAGGATGTGATTATGAGATATAAGTATACTAAATTTATTATTCTTACCTATGATGCGCTCATATGGTTTATGAGTGTCAAATACGACACGAGTACAATACGGGGATATGTTGTTAAAAAAGTAGGATACTAATACTGTAGGATACAACTATAAAAAAATTACGTATTTCATCGTACAAACTATAAAATATAAAATAAAGTTGAAAACATCATAGTACTTCATAAATAAAAGACATTAATTGGGCCACAACATGATTGATGGAAAAAGTAGAGAATTTTTTCTTCTTTTTTTTAGATGGAGAAATAGACAGAGATGTAAATCATAAAATTCAAGCTTGGTGGATGAAATGGAAGAATGTTTCAGGTGTTATTTGAAATAGAAACTTCTTAAGATATAAGGAACATTTTACTACATAACCACAAGACTAGTGATGCGTTATGGTGCTGAATGTTGGGCGATAAAGGGACAACAAGAGCATAAGATAAGTATTGCAGAGAAGGGAATGTTCCGTTGAATGAGTGGTCATACAAGAAAAAATAAGATCATAAATGAATGTATTAGAGAGAAAGTAAGAGTGGCACCTATTGAGGAAAATACAGTAGAATCATGCCTAAGATGGTGGACATGTGAGAAGCCCCAGTTAGAAGAGTTGATCAGATGGTGGATAACCCAACAATTTGAGGTAGAGGTAGTCCAATAAGTCAAAAAATTAAAGTGGATCTAGGATTAAATGGCCTCTCTGAAGAATTGGTTTTGGACAAAAGACAATGTCTTTGTTTGATTCAAGTAGCTGGCCCCCCTAATGGTAAAGGGCTTTGGTTGTTGCTGTTGTTTTATTTTTTTTATTTTTTGGTAACTTGTTGCTGTTGTGTTAATATTATATATATATATATATATATATATATATATATATAATACAAATTACCATTTATGAAGAATCTAAGTATCTAATACGGTATCAGTATCAGACACATTTCTGACACTGGTATGGCGGGCATTTTAAATTATCTGTGCTTCCTAGATTATTCATTCTGGATAAGTTAATACCTTTTAAATTTTATTTACTTTTGAAAGTAAAATACTTGTCAATTGAAATTTCTATTTGGTTTCTTTTGGGGTTGTGATTAAGGTTTATTGTCACTGCAGATGGTGCATGTTATTTTCTTTACTTTTGAAGTTTAATTCATATCACTGCAAGGTGAAGACTTTTTCTTTAAGGGGGCTATTTTATAATATGCTTTCATCACTAACATTTTCTCTTTTTTGGCTACGTCTGGCTTTTTCTTTCAAAGTATTTTCTTTCAAGCTATGTCAGGCGTTTCCTAGTCGTGGTAAATTATTTTGAAGTTTTGATTGAATGATACATGATAACGATGAATGTGATATTGGGTATCTGTCTTTATGTTTTGACTAGCTTGATTTGAAGGATCTTTTTGTGAGTAAATCTATATGAAGATATCCACTTTGACTGTTTTGTAAATGTCTTCATGTAAAAGCTCAAGCTACATGTTTTGGTCTTCAATTAACTTATTTTTACTTTTTCAGGAAACCAGAATCTCCACAATCAAGATCAAGACCTAACTTTGAAATGAAAGATGCTACTCCAAAGAAACAAAAGCAGTGCAATTGTAAACACTCTAAATGCTTAAAGCTGTAAGAAATTTTTTCTCTTTCTCTCTGTGTGCTTGTTTCTATTAACTTGTTTATGTAGAGTATAAGTGCATGTCATGTCCTTGCACGTGTTCTCACATTTGCAACTATGAAATGCAAAATTGCTCTTAAGTAGATATCTACCATCCTGTTCAAGTATGTGGTCTTGTTGCTCTTCATAGTATACTAGTAAAATGTTTCTATTGTCAGAAATTACTTTTCTTTTCTTTCATTTTAACAAAAAAAGAATTTTCATGAATGACTCATCATTTATATATTTTTGTTTGTGGTTATGTTGAGAATTATTGCCTAGGCTTTACTCATTTTACTTTAGAAAATTGATTTTTTGTTGTTAGTTAAGTTGCCTTATATTAAAAGACTCATTGCTATTTTGCTCCATTTTCTTTTTTCCCTCTTCTCTTGTGTGGTTGTTTGTTTCATTCATTTTTTCGATGGCATTTGATTTTTTTCACTTGATTGATAGATGACCTGTAAAAATTAAATGTATGAAGTGGAAATCGGTTTGGTGTGTTTGCAGTTAGAACTAAAGCATAAACCTGGCAACTCAGCAAATAGGGTACTGTAAACAACCTGGGCGAGCTTATGACAGTTAACTATGGGGAGTTAGTGGCCTGCTTTGAGCATGACCGTCCAATTTTTTGGGGATTAACTTTCTATTCAATAATATTTAAAACTTTTGAAATTGCAAGGAAAATGGAAATTATTGGGAACATGAAAATAACACTCTTGACCAAGAAAGGAATTGAAAAATCTTTTCATTCCGTCTCCATCATCAAATTCCTTATTATATTATACATGGGTAGTTTTAAATCAAAGTCGTTGATTCCCATGGGCAAAGTTAGGCTCAATTTTATCTGAATTATTGTGGTGAAACAATATATTTTTCTTTGAAGACGATCGATAAGAGTGTTATGTAGAAACATTTTACTATTTCAGTCATTTTCCCCCTTCAGCGGAGGTCGTTCACTGTTGCAACTTATTGGCTGCTATATGAAGCTAAATTCCAATTTTTTTGAGCAGATATTGTGAATGTTTTGCATCGGGAATATATTGTGATGGTTGCAACTGTGTAAATTGCTTCAACAATGTCGAAAATGAAGCTGCTAGACGGGAAGCTGTTGAAGCTACTTTAGAGCGCAATCCAAATGCATTTAGGCCCAAAATTGCGAGCAGCCCGCATGGAACACGTGATAGCAGGGTATGTAGGTCTTACTTTCTGTGACAGGTAGTGTGGTATACCATGTGTTATTTTGTGGACGATTATTAATAGTTAAGATATATTGCTTATATTGATAAAAAGAAGTTTTGCCTATTTTTTTTTGGAGTATATTAGGTTTCATTGTGAATCCTGTGATCTAATGATGCAAGATACTCATCCTATTACCTTTGATATCTTTTCTTTCAGTTCATTGTGGGATTTTATGCAAAACTAAAGGGATATTTTTTGTATTATGATTGTTGGTCACTTTCTTTATGTAATTATTTTTGCCATAGTAAAAAAACTTGCAATTAAATTAGATGCATCATTCCATAATTGACAATCATGGAATTAGGCCCTTTGCTTATGACTGAAAAAATATTTTTGTAGAAACAAAATTCGTTGATATTAAATATTCTTATTGATTATGTTAGTTGCCTTTAGTCTGTTCCCTTCAGGCCTTCACTATGTTGATTTTTTGTCAATGCATAATTTTGATCAATTATTCCATTTTCCAATGTCCTAAAAATAATTTCCTTGTTGATGAAACCAATGCATTCATTTTATTTTATTTAGCAACTTAGACATAGAAAGTCAATTTAAAACGCTAACATATAATTAGAAGTTACTCAGATAAGTTATATATTTTTAATCACGCATCTATACAATAATATATGTATTCGCAAGAAGTTGGACTTTTCTTGGTAAAATTTTCTGGAATGACGGGAGCTTATTATAATTTACCTGGCACGTGCCTTGATATATGCTCTACATAAATGATAAATAAAGGTTTCTGGAATTGGTAATATTCCTTATATTAGAAAATGTGTTGAACATTTTTTAGTATTGCATACTAATAAAATATTTGATTTTTCTATTGTTGACTATTTGAATTTAACAATAAATGTAGGAGGATGCCGGGGAAGTTTTAATATTAGGAAAACATAACAAGGGGTGCCATTGTAAAAAGTCTGGGTGCCTCAAGAAGTACTGTGAATGCTTCCAAGCCAATATTCTTTGTTCTGAAAATTGTAAGTGCATGGACTGCAAGAATTTTGAGGGAAGTGAAGAGAGACAGGCTTTGTTTCATGGAGAACAAAATAACAACATGACATACATTCAGCAAGCGGCAAATGCTGCCATAACTGGAGCTATTGGTTCCTCTGGCTACTCATCGCCTCCAGTATCCAAGAAAAGAAAAGGTCAGGAACTATTCTTTTGGCCTACAGCCAAGGATCCATCCATTAGCAAGTTGGGACAACAGGTAAAACTTGCTCATAGCACAAGGTACTAGTACAGATGTTTATTTTAAATTAGGTAGTTGGTTAAATCAGAGAAATAGAGAACCTTAAGTCGAGTTGACATAGCAATTTTTACTAACATAGCTATGTTCTCGTTAGAAGTTGACATTTTTGTCATTTTGTTTAAAAGATGCATTTAAACTTAAGTATTTACTAAATTGAACTTGGCTCCCCCCAAGTTTGGTCCATTGTGTCCGACTTTCTAATTTTTAGTTTGAAGGAATAGAGACAAATTAAGTCTGAGGCTAAAACTTTTGTTTCAATATCATGATGACTTAAGTTGTTCATATTCGCTAGCTGCAGTTTATAGCAAATGCTATCATGATTCGTGGGCATTTTATATTACTCAGCTTATGTACACTATAATCATGAAATACTTTTTAATGTTCACCAGGTAAACCATGTCCGAGGTCCAGCACCCTCCTCATCCCTGTCATCTGTCCCAGGTGCTCGTGTTGGAACTGCAACATTAGGTCCTTCAAAATTTATGTACAGGTAATATTGGTTATATACATGAAATAAAGATAAACGTAATACGGTTACTTACAGACTTGATTATTGTTGAAGGTCTCTTTTAGCAGACATTATACAACCGCAGCACCTGAAGGAGCTTTGTTCAGTTCTGGTGCTAGTATCTGGACAAGCTGCAAAGACACTTACAGGTATATTGATATCATACATCGCCAATCATCAATTCTGCTATTGGTTTCTGAAAGTCGATTATGTTTTCTTTCATCCTTCCTTGTATGAATGAACTGGTATTTACGTAGAAAGGCTTTTCCTCTTTTCCCCTCACTTTCCCTTGATTCTCCTGTTTTCCCAACAGGCCTGAAGTATGAGTAGTTCTATTTAATGAGTGTGCACTATAAATGGACTAATCATGTGTCTTTCAATTTTGTTGTGTTAAAATTATCGCTTAGAACTTCATCAGATTAACCGTAAATGCAGCTCTAGACACTAGTGCATCTGAAAAATAAAAACCAAAGAGCTTACAATCTGATGGATCCCAAATAGAATTGATGATGTTAATTATAAATACAATTAAATTGCAGAAAAATAATAAGAAATATAGAAAGAACAAGAGGAAAAACTCCACTCCAAGACAACAATGTAGCCTTGAGAGCTTCCCTATTTCCATTCCCCATCCTAATTCTCAAATAACAAAATAATAATCAGCATAAAGAAACTTCACCCTAAACATCTATATATAATTCCTACTAATGGGCTTGGATACTTTATTAAAGGCCCATCAATACTTCCCCTTCAAGATTCACCTTGTCCTCAAGGTGAAGGAAGAGACTAGGATTCCACCTGGATCCCATTGTTTAAAACATACAGACCCTGTTATGCTAGAGGCAGAAGAATTGCCATTGAACCACATTACACATAACCTGCTTGAGGGTAACTTAGTAGGACTCCTGGAAACTGCAGTAGGACTCTTGGAAACTTCATGGAGTACTAGCAGTAACTCCATAATCGCTTCTTCTTCAACACGTGACAACTTGTCCCCCTCCCCCCATTTCCTCAATCTTTACTGCTACGCCTGGTAAGTCTAGCTGAATGCCCTTGCGCGTCCCTAGACTTTGCACTCTGTTTCCATCGCCCATGGCTGCCAAATCTGTATTCTATGGTACTGAACCTCCCACACCCAACAACATAATTAGCAAGCTTGGGTTTTGACGAATATGGTGGAGAGCAGTCACACTTCTTCTTCATCTCTTCCAGCGACAGCCTTTGGAGTCTTGCGCCACCGCTGCTGTTGTTACCCCCAATCTGACGTGATTCAGCTGACCCACGGCCTATGTTTTGTGTTCCCTCAACACCCGTCTTTCTTGTATCGCTTAGTTGCCCTTCTTATTGGGCTGAGTTTATTGTGCCTGTCATTACCAGCCCATTAAGTAAGTCAATGTTATTTCTATTGCCCTTCTTATTGGGCTGAGTTTATTGTGCCTATCATTACCAGCACATTCCCATAAGTGAAAAGGCCCTGTTGCCAAATGCTAGTGACCGAACTCCAACAACCGCTCTGTTACTAGTTCGCCCTAAAAATGACCAGACCCGTTCACGTTCCTTCTCCCTTTCTTCAAGTGCATCTTCCGTCTCTTTGTCTTCGTATCCGGTTTCTTCCTCAGGATCAATCCCATCTTCACCCAGTATCTCCACATAATCTGGTGAGAAGGGAGCGTCACACCTGAAGCACAAATTCCTCCACCGCTTCTTGTTCGTCTTTTCTGACCTCAGTGACAAATCGTGAGAACCCTTTTTGTTTCCCTCTTCTTCTTCGTCCTCTTGCGCTTCTTCTTCTTCTTTTTCGTCTTCTCCAGTTTCTTCTGCATCATCAATGTCGTCAGTTTCTACTTCGGTGTTTCGATCTACTTCTTCTTCTTCGTTCCCTCCTCCTCCTTCTCCTTTGTCTTTTGCATGTCCTTCTACTGCTGTTTTCTTCTGCACCAGGCTCTTTTCTTGTTCTTTCTTTGGTTCTTCTTTCTTTAGAGCTTCTCGCTTCTCTTCCCAAGCATCTATGATCTTTAGCATCTTCTGAAACAACTCAATGACCTTCGATGTACGTGCCTTATCCAAAGCGTTAAGATTCATTCTTATTTGTGACATTTTTATTTATTTTTTTATTTTTCTAACATATCTGGACCAGAAAGCACTCCCAAAATCGGAAGTGCTCTGATACCAAATTGATGGATCCTAAATAGAATTGATGATATTAATGAAACATACAATTAAATTGCAGAAAAGTAATAACAAACATAGAAAGAACAAGAGGAAAAACTTCACTCACTCCAAGACAACAACCTAGCCTTGAGAGCTTCCTTATTTCCTCTCCTAATTCCCAAATTGATGGAACCAGAATAATAAGATCCTTCGAATTAAAGTTTTCCAACACCAGATATAAACCAAACCATCATATTTGTATTAATATCAACAGAATTCAAAAATTACAGTGACGATAACCCCGTAATAAAAAATAGAAAGAACAAGAGGAAAAATTCCACTCCAAGACAACAACCTAGCCTTGAGAGCTTCCCTGTTTCCTCTCCTAATTCCCCAAATTACAAATAACAATCAGCCTAAAGAAACCCCACCCTAAACATCTATATATAACTAATTTCTACTAATGGGCTTGGATACTTTATTAAAGGCCCCTCACAATCACACTAAGAATCAGAATACATTTTTTGCAACCCTTAATTGATTGCCAAATGGTAATAACAAGATACTAATCAAAGAAATCGTATTCCTTGCTTTTTATCGGCTACATTGTCGTAATGAGATATTTCAATTGAGAAAATGATGTCTCGGTATGGAAATGTATCACATGCAAAATAATATGATATGGGGATGAAAATTATAAAAATTAGGATATATGTATGGTATTGTTAGTAGAAGAGTAAATTTTTTTACGGAATAATATAATTAGTTAATAATAGTAGAATTAAGATAAAAAATTGTACAGTATGTATTCGTTGCAAAGAAGCAAAGGGACCATTCCAAATAAGGAACTCTTAAAGTTACTTGGCATGAACCGCAAACAAACACTTGAAATGGTTATTATTGTTATTATTGGGGTAAATTGGTTTAAATAGCCATTCACGTTTATTTTCCTTTCATGGTGAATATTTGTATCAAGAGTTTCTTTTTTGGAATTCTCCCCCTCAAAAAAGAAATTCAAATATGTAACAGTTTTAACAGGTTTTTTTAAATGTGTTTTATGCATATTGATCAGTTTCTCTGCATATGTTGGATGTTCGTACTTCTAGGCTTATAATTCAGTTTTTTAAAAAATATTTACATTGTGATTGACCTCTTATATAAAAAGAAAAATTATTAGGGATTCCCTTGAGCATGTGATTCTAGATCTGCTTGGCCAGAAAAGGGGACGGAGGTTGCATAAGGACTCATGATATGGTTTGGTTGTCAGTGAGAGTTGTTTTTCTTTAATGAATTTTTATTTCAACCAATAAATACAATACCCTTATATACTAAATCCGCACCATAGTATCTTGCTGGTTGTTCTCTTCTTCTTTTGTATGTGGTTAATCAAGGAGTCCCTTTAATAACTAAATCACTAACAAACTATACTTGAGCATTAGGATAGCGGTCAGGTGAATTTGGAAATCCAGTAGTCGAAGATTTTGGGGGACCCAAAATTGGGGGTACATAAAAAACCTCTTTATTTTATTTTATTTTACTGAAAAGTGACATTTTTTGTTCATCAAAAATTTCCTTGGCATTCTGTACAGTGATCGTTAGGAAACTATTCATGAAACACTGCTATAGCAATGGTCCACAGAACGTTCAGTATTCTTACATAAGTTCACAACCTAGTTTTTGGTTCACTTGATGCTTCTTATTGCATACCATGTAATCAGCCTTGTCAGTCTACATTGATTAATTTTCTCTTATCAATTATTGTGATTAATATGATCAGACCAGAAAAATTTAATGGAAAAGCATACAGAAGATCAGACAGAAACTTCCCTTGCTTCTTCAACTCAAGAGCAATTACCAAGTCAAAAGGAAGGTGATGTTGAGAAAGCTATGGCTGATGATTGTTCGAGTGCAAACCAAACAGATAAAATCAGCCCAGACAATTCCAGCTCAGATGTCGCTGATGTCCCTAAAAGGAGGCCAATGTCTCCTGGGACTTTAGCTTTGATGTGTGACGAGCAAGATACAATGTTCATGACAGCTGCCTCCCCCATTGGGCCAATGGCCCATGCTACGTCTTCACAATTTCCTTATGGACAAGGAATGACAGAGGTCTATGCTGAGCAAGAAAGGATTGTACTAACAAAATTTAGAGATTTTCTCAATAGGGTTATTACTATGGGAGAAATAAACGGTAAGTTAATATTTTACTCTCCTTTAGTTATAATTTTACTTTTGGTAACATTCATAAAACCCTTTAGTATGTTGGGACTTTGGCAAAAAGACCGTCAACTTTCCATTTTGGCAATTAATCCCCTTAGCTTTGATAAACATCTAAATGGCTGTTTCTATTTATTTTCTGTAAGTTTATTTCTCTTTGTTACCCTTCCCATGCATAATTTATTCCACTTTCAATCTATTCATGTTCTATCGATTCCTCTGCAAGTGTTTGTTCTTAACAGTAAACACCAAAACTATCTATTTTTCATGAACTGTAGCTATTGAGACTTTGTGATAATTTAGGGGGTTCATTACTGTAGTTTATACGCTAAAATTGAAGGGCCAAAGTGGTTCTGATCTTTTTATCATGTTAATTAGAAGTAAGCTGTTGTAAAGGATGCTATGGAGCATGACCTAAAGATGGTCTCTGTAGTTGGAAGGTGTACATAGATAGCTAACTTTTAGTAAATTATTAATGATTTGTCTGGTATGCTTTACATGGCTATGTCATTTGAAATGGTTCTGAAATTTCTGATGGCTATTGTTAGAAAAAGTATTTGTTCAGAGTGAACACCAAATATGGATAAGGGTAAGTGTTTGGGATATGCTATGGAAAATACTGTGTGGAATCAGTGTGAATACTAAGGTGGTGTACCATCTTCGAAGATAAGTGGAAAAACTTTGAGGAAAATTATTTTGAGATTTGTGTTCCTGAAGCTTTTCCTTCTACTCCATTCGGTTCTTCCCCTTCTTCAGGTGTTGTGGTGCCTTCCGCCTTCTTTTTGAATGAAGATGAATCTCCTCGGGTCCCCTTATCATGGAACTGAGCTCACTACACTCCTATTGCTCACGTGTATCTTCGTAATACAAAGAATCTAGCGAGTAACGAGCTAGAGGCTTATAATTGGTTTAAGGATTTGGCCACCGAATTAGCAGAGGGTGTTGTCCTTGACTCTAAAGAAAAATTGGCATGTGGTTCTTCTTTAGAGTTTGTTCGAGTAGCCTTCAGTGAGTGTATTCAATTTTATTTATGTTCTTCTTACTCGTGATTTTTGATACTTTTTCTCTACTTTCAGGGAAGACGATGGATCCATCATTTTTTGCTAAACGAAAGGCCCTTGCCGAGATCAAAATTATCCCAAGAAACACATTCTAAAACCCAATCTCCGGCATCCGGGAAGAGTTCCCTGTCTATCACCCAGGCTACTTCTGGCATGGGTTCCGCCCATTCAGGGCCTATTAATATTGATGTTGATACACAAGCTGATTCTGGCGACCAGCGAGAAAAGAAATGTGTTCGGGTAATTTTACCTGATAAAAACAAAGAAGTAAATGTTCAATGTATCGTTCCCCCGGGTACGACTTCTGGTCCTCCTCTAACTTTGACTCCTAACTCACTCGATAAGCTGAAGCCGTACTTCACTTCTGGCCTCCGTGAAAAGTGGGATCAATATTCTAAAGACCAACTTATCAACAAATTCATAGTTTTAAGGGATGCTGACATCGAAGAGGCTCATTGTTTTTGAAATGGCCCTTCTAGCCTTTGTTGATCGTAATAAGCTTTTATCCAAAATCCAAAAACATCAAGATTTCAAAAAGAAATTTGATGCGAAGCAAGTAGCTCTTAAGAAGAGGGCAGAAACCGCTAAGTTTATTGCGAAGGGTCTGCAAGTCCAGTTAACGGAAGCTCAAAAAGAGAAAGTGACTGCCGAGCAAAATTATGGCGAGCTAAAGAAGGAACTAGAGCACTACAAAAAAGGTCAAGAAGTTGATCTTCGGGTAGCCAAGCTAGAATTAGAAGTAGACAATTTAAAGAAAGCTACTGCTGAGATGGAAGACAAAGTCGAAGCTTATGGTCATCAAATCTGTGGCTGGGTGCTAGACCAAGTCGCCTTTTTTAACCCGGGGATTAAGCTACAAAATATAAAGCAGGTTACTATTTTTAATTATGTCAAGGGTTTGGACTTGTTTACTTATGGTGTTGATGGTAAAACAGTTCTTTTATCTCGTTCTGTTGAAACATTTATCTCAACCAACCCGGATGCTTCCAACCCGGATATTATAAATGTAGATGCTGTCATAATAATGCTAACCCGGAGAATCAAGAGACTTGAAAGGGTGGTATGCCACCTTAATTTTTGTAACACTTTTTGGGTTGGAATGCCGGCTTTATGCTGATGTACACTTTTTGGGCCAGGATGCCAGCTTTACGTTGATGTACTTGACAGTTTTGTTTTTACTTTTTAATTTGCTGGTCAAATACTCCGACTTTGGACAATTTATATTTTGGATGAATTATCTTTGAGCTACATTTTCCTTGTTATTTGGTATTTTCCTGCTTCCGACTAGATTGGGTGCCCAAGAGACCAATTTTCTGTCGGCAAAGGACTTTGATTTTTCCGTTTTCGACTTGGAAAAGGATGGGTGCCCAAGGTGTCGCAGACAATAAGGGACTTTAAATATTCCCGCATCCGACTTGGAAAAGGATGGGTGCCTAAGGTGTCGTTACTCGGTAACAAGGGTCTTTGATTTTATCTTAAAAATGATTTAACTCGTTTGTCGGAACTCGCTGCTTTCATTAATATAAAATTCAAGGTTACAATTGACAACTTAGAAAATAAATCTAAGTTTTGAACCATAATGGAAAAGAATCATTAAAAGAAAACAACTAAAAACTTAGGCGAGTTCCTCATCATCAAATCAATTATAATACCTTTTCATCTTGGCCGCATTCCAATGTCTTAGAATAACCTTTCCATCTAAATGCTCTAGTTTTAGGCTCCTGAGTTGGTTCGTCCGACTACCCAATAAAGCCCCTCCCAATTAGTTGCTAGCTTTCCGTCCACAACATTTTTGTTTTCAGACATCCGCCCTCCTGAGTACTAGATCTCCTATCTCAAAAGTCCTCTTTATCACAACTCGGTTGTATCTAGTCGTTGCCCACTGCTTGGAGGCCATTTCAACAATCGCTGTTCTCTCTGTTTCTTCTTCCAGCAGATCCAAGTCAATCTTCATTAATTCCTAATTTTCTTCTTGCTTGTCTTCTTCTACAATCCTTCTTCTCCAAGAGGGTTCTCCGACTTCCACTAGTAGCATTGCATCAAATCCATACGTCATTTTGAAGGGGGTTTCTTGTGTGCAAGACTGAATCGTCGTCCGATATCCCCATAACACATTGTCTAACTCTTCCAACCAATTTCCTTTACATCCTTCAACTCTCCTCTTCAGCCCGTTCATGAGAATTTTGTTAGCAGATTCTACTTTCCCAGTCTACGGGTGTTCCACCGCAGAAAAATGATGCTTGACTCCCAAGTCGGCTACAACTTCTCGGATCTTCTTATCTATTAATTGGGTGCCATTATCAGTGATGATTATCTCGGGTATGCTGAACCTGCAGATAATCTTACGATAAAAGAACTTAAGTATTTTCTGGGCTATGATGGTGGAACAGGAGCGCCTTTATCCATTTAGTAAAGTAATCAATCGCTACAATCAGATACTTAACTCCTCCTACTGCCTTCGAAAATGGGCCTAAGAGGTCCATCCCCTATTTGTAAAATGGCCATGGAGAAGATATGGTAAACAACTATTCTGAAGGAGCTTTATATACATTGGAAATTTTTTGACACTGGTCACATTTCTGTACATGCTTTCTAGCGTCTTCCCCCATAGTCGGCCATAAATAGCCCGCCCGTATCGTCTTTCTTGCCAACGACTTCCCACCAAAGTGATGCCCATTTATGCCTTCATGTATTTCTTCCAATACGTACTTGGTAACCGGATGAGTAGTACACTTCAACAACAGGGAATTGAATCCATGTCGATATAGTTCTTCTTCTAATACCACAAACCAAGCCGCCCTCCTTACGAGCTTGGTAGCTTCCTTCTTGTCTTCAGGAAGTTGCCCATACTTCAAGAATGAAATAATTGGGGTCATCCAAGTTCCTTCCTCTATTGCACAAACAATGCTTGGAGCTTGGATATTTTGTTGCACAATTGTTCTTAAGTTACTCATGGAGTTAGTTCTTGCCAATTTTGAGAGCATATCTGCCCGAACGTTCTCATTGCTTCGAATGTGCTCAACTCGGACCTCCTTAAACCCTTTCATCAACTTCTAAACTTTAGTCAAGTATTTCATCATAATTTCTCCTTGTGCTTGGTAAGCTCCATTGATTTGTGAAGTAGCGAGTTACGAGTCGTTGTAAACATGGAGGAACTCGGCTCCAAGTTCCTTCGAATGGATAAGCCCAGAAATTAGCGCTTCGTACTCGGCTTGGTTATTGGACGTTGGAAATTCAAACGTCAAGGAATGCTCTACTGTAACCTCCTCCGGGTTCTCTATTAATTCCAACTCCACTACCTCGTTCATTAGAAGATCCGTCCACATACAACTTTCATTATACATCACCTTTTCTCTCCCCAGGGTGTGTCATTTCCAACAGAAAATTTGCTACCACCTGTGCGTTAATTGCATTGCGGGCTTCAAAACTAATGTCAAACTCATAGAGCTCAACTGCCCATGCGACCATTCTTCCCTCCAAGTTTGGCTTCTTTAACAGCTGCTTGATAGGTTGATTGGTCCTCACGACCACTGAGTGGCTTTGAAAGTAAGGTCGAAGTCTTCTTGCTGTCGTCAACAGTGCGAATGCCACTTTCTCTACTTGCTAGTACCGAGTTTCGACACCTTGTAAGACTTTACTTATGAAGTAAACCTGTTTCTGTCCTCCTTCTTTTCTTCTAGGTCGGAGATCCCATCTTAGTTATCTGTTCCATCGTAGCTTCGAGTTGAAATTCTATTATACCTCCCATGGGTTTCGGCTTTTTTTCTCTTTGATTTTCAGCTCGCGGATCCATCTCAGCATCACTTCGGGCTCCTTCCCTTTCTTTTTCTCCGGGTAGACTTGCTCGCCAACGACCTGCTTTTATTTTTCTTCTTCTTCTTCCTTCTTCTGACTTCCTTCCACTCCATCACTCTTATATTCCTTCTCCCGACTTCCTTTTTCTTCGCCACTTTATTACCCCTTGGTTTCTTCCGTTTTATTGGAAACTTATTCACTTTCTTGTGGCATCCTCAAACTCATATTGTAACAACTCCGTGCTACCAACTGGTCAGCTTTAAATGTTGCTGTATTTCTATCTTTCGTCGCAAACTTCATTGCGAGTTGATTAATGGACAAGAAACTCTTGAACTTCTTCATGAAAGGTCTGCCAAGTATAACATTATAAGCAAATAGAATATCTACAACTGCAAATGATAAAGATACTGTTTTATGAGTAGGCGCCTTGCCCAGTATCAACCTTAGGTTGATATATCCTATCGGCTTGATTCTGTGCCCAATAAATGCTAACAACTTCGATCCGCATGGTTCCAGTTGATCATGATCCAAATCTAGTTGTCTAAACGCCTCTCAGAAAAAAATGTCAACCGAGCTCCCAGGGTCGACTAGCATCTTGTTAATCCGATAATTGGCTAGGAGCCCAGATATCACCATGGGATCATCATGATTCAGATCCAAAAATTCATCATCAAATTCATCAAATACAACTTGCTTCCCAGTTTTCCTTTGCTCCTCCTTGAACCGAGGTCTCTCGGTAATTGCAAAACAAGTCTTCAAATGCTTCTTTCGGGCATTGCTAGATTCTCCGCCACCTGCCTGCCCTTTGGCAATTATGCATGCTCTTTCGACTTCTACGTGATTAGACGGTGGCGAGGTGGGCTCCTTCCCTTGTTCCTTTTTTGCCTCATTTTTTTCGTCTCTTGGCGGGCTCCTACTTCGATCTGTTCTCTTTCTTCTTCTTTCTCCTTCTTTGCAATTATCTTGTCCTCCACCTCCTCTCTTCACATACTTCTGGAGTTTTCCTTCTCTGATTAACTGCTCAATTGCGTCACTCAAGTTGAAGCATTCATTAGTCATGTGCCTGTAGCATCTGTGGAATTCGCACCACTTTGTCCTGTCTATCTCAGCATAAGCCGACCTGATAGGAGGCGGCCTTTGCACATTCCTCATTTCGGTATTCATTACTTCCTTCAGAACCTGTGCTTGGGAAGTGTTCAAAAGAGTGTATTTTCTCCTAAATCCTTTTGCTCGCAATCGTGGTCTCCTTTCGTCTACCTGGCTCCTGGGAGTGGGTTTATATGCTCTCTTGCTTTGAATGGCTTCTCGGAAGTGTTCAAAAGAGTGTATTCTCCTCTGAACCCCTCCTTAAATCTTTCTCCTCGCAGTCGTGGTCTCCTTTCATCTACTTGGCTCCTGGGAGTGGGTTTATCTGCTCTCTTGCTTTGAATGGCTTCTTAGAAGCTGCACTCAATCTCTCTCTGAGACGCTCGAAAAAGCTCCTCCTTCGTGGTTGGCCTCTTTTTCGCCTGAGTTAGCCAGGCTGCCAAATTGTAGCTCGATTGTGAACAATAACATGTATGTTTGGGTTTCCAAGCCACGAATTGCTTCTTGAAAATGCTCATAGTACTCCCTTAACTTCTATCCTGGCTTTTGTCTTATCCCACAGAGATTGTGAGTAGTCTTAGGCTAAGGACCGCAGTGTACAAACTGTTGAATAAAACGCTGAGCCAAACCTGCCCAATTTTCAATTGAATTTTCTGGAAGCATGGTGAACCATTCCAAAGCCTGCTTCCTCAGAAAAATTGGAAAAGTTTTACATAATAAAGGATTCGTCTCTCCCAAAGTGACATTGCAGCTCAGAACACAATGTTGAACTCTCTCGGATCTGAGCTTCCATCAAACACCTTCAAATCGTTTGGTTGCCTGAACCAAGTCGGAATTGGTTCCGCCCTTGGCCTCCAAGTGAGGGGGGTTCCAGATGGTCCTTGTATTATAGGTCCTGCTTGAAATTGCGGCTGGAAAGGTTGGTACTGTCCTCCAGGGTATTGTCCTCCGGGAAATACTCCTACTTGCCCATGGCCTGGATAGATAGTCTGTATCCCATATTGTGGTTCTGGGATCCGATAATCGCCTTGGAATCCCTGATGTGCTCCTCGTAAATGTTGGTCTTCTTGATGATGGGCATGATGATACCCGTGTTCGTGGTACTGGTTCTCCAAATGGCGAGCATGATGATACCCACACTCCTAGTACTGGTTCTCCTGTTGGCGGGCATGATAGTGCCCGTGATCCAGGTGTCCTTCCATCCTTCTGTCATTCCTCCTTTCTTCTTCATGATAGATCGTCCTCTCGGAATCCCGAGCATGTTCAACTTGGTCCTCCCGGATACGCTTCTGATTCCTCCTTTGATCATCGTGTCCTCCTCTACTCCGAGTAACTTGTTCAGGTAGGCTCCTGGATTCCTGTGAATGCTATTGGTGGTTCATTATGTTCTCCTCGGTGTGAATCCTTTCCTACCTTCGAGGTGGAGATAGGGGAATGTAGCTTGGAGCAGGAGACCACGAAGTTCGAGTTTGGTGCCCCTACTGTGATACATGTTGAGGTCTCTCTTCAGATTGATGTCTCCTCCTTCTCCTCAAAGTTCCATCTCTCCTTCTTTCTTTGAAGAATGCTCGTTGATCTTCTACCAGTTGGAGCAATGTGCGTCCAATGGTGTTAAGGGAACGACTCCTAGCATCAGATTGAAAAGAATTCTCTTCATCGTCAACAGGGAGTGGTCCGTTTTCAGTTCGACGTTGATAACTGCAGTTACTAGCCATAACAGGAGGTGGGAATTGAACGTTACAGTCCCCACAGATGGCGCCAGATGTTCAGAGTCGACACCAAATATGGATAAGGGTAAGTGTTTGGGATATGCTATGGAAAATATGGTGTGGAATTAGTGTGAATACTTGGTATGAATGGTTGAATTCAAGGTAATATGCATTCATTCAATATTGTTTGTGTATATATAATAGCTATTATGAGCGGTTACGAGAGAGAATCGTGGGTAGAAAACAATTATCTTGATGTGTTCATGGTGGTTGCACGGGAGTATGACGATTGTGGGGTTGGACCCGTGATCCGTGCTCATAGCTTGGTTCCAAGCCGGGTATTATGTGGACGCCGGGCAAAGGAGTAAACTCGACTATAAGCCCAAACCAGAAATGGGCTCGATTATTGGCCCAATAAGGGCAACGGGTTAAACCCGGAACAGTATTAAAATTTGTGTACTAGGTTCTTTGGGACTTGTTTATGGTAGAAAATATATTTAATGTAGGGCTGTCTCATGTACTTTTCGCATTACCTACTTTATTGTTAAAATGGCTAATTTCTTTTCCCAATTTCAGAAACAAAATGTTCTTCATTGGCCAGAAGTGAATTAGAGAGTCAAAAAGACCCTATCATCAGTGGCATTGGAAACACCAATACTGAGATAGTGCATCAGCAGGTAGCCACTAGCAATGGTGTTACCAAAGCTGTTGTTCCACCGGGGGCCACAACTTCAGCATCTATGATCCCGGGTAATGTTCTTACTGAAAATGGGGAAACTGAGCTGAAGATGGAAAAAGATATGAAAGGAATCTAACTTAGAAGGATGCCCAGTGATACGATTGAAAGAAGAAATGAGAAGGTATGCTAAAACTTCTCTGTAATATAAAAACATTGCCGGTCTTCGTTTTCTGCCTTCTCCTTTGAAAGGTCTGATAAGCATACAGGCCCCCCCACATTAGTCCATGTAGGACCAATTTTTTTTTTTTCTATCAATTTTGTTGTTCTAATTTGGTCATTACACATCTAAATTAATTTTTCAGCTTCAACATTGCTTTATTGCAAAGCTTGTAAATTGCTGAGTTGTAATTTCATAAAATATATCGTTTAGATTTTGCGTTCAATGACTTTCATAGCTTGTAATTCAGAGTATACTTTTTTTATTTAGGAAGTTTTCCTATCCCTTTTCTTCTGCTCTGTTCATTACTATATCCACGTAACATGTAATTTTACAGGTTGGTCCGATGTCCATTACAATTTGCATTCTTTTGACAGTTTAACTGATTTACTTTTATTTGATTCATTTATATATTTGCTAGTTAATTACATTCTCCAAAATTTGTGTATGCAATATATACATATCCAAGTCACTAGAATTAGTCTAGTACTGAGAGATTTAAGTAGTTTGTATTAAATTATATGTTCAATTTCTATCAATGTATCAAAAAATATATACATATCAGAAATGAAAAGATATCAGTTTGGAGATGATATGTTCCAGATTTTGTATTTCATAGTAATTACTCAAGCATTGAAATTCAAGCTCTGCAATAATTCAACATGCTGTTTATACTGACTTTGCCTAGGCATTTGAGCCTTTAAACATTTTAGATTTGTACATTATTTTGAAGAGGATTTGGCCATTTCATTGTTGATTGGAGCAAACAAGCATATAATAGCATTTAAAATTTTATTTTAATAACTTTTTCCACCATTTCAGTTTTATATCCCTTTAATTCATGCACAAGTATCAGTCACAACTCCAGTACTAATCAAACGACAGGTAGTTAAAAGTACTATCACCTATGACAAAATTATAACTTCAGGTGATTAAAAAAAGTGACCTTCAACGAATATTATACATTCGGTTCATTTCATTTCCCCCCCAAGAAATCGTACAAAGCAACCAAATATGAATTAAAAATAGCGCAACACTAGCTTCTACTTTAGAAAGTGAAGCATGTAAAACAGGTAAAATCAAAACACACAAACTTGAAAGGATTCTAAGTAATCCGAATAATTGCATTGAACTAACCATGCATGTTCAGAAATTAGCCGACTAAGACAAAACATAAATACTTTTTATTTTATTTTATTTTTTGTAGGGGTGAGAAAATTTTTGAAAACATTTGTCATTTAAACTTGGACGGTAGCACATACTATGAGCTACATTCCCTATCCCATAATATCCAACATGCTTAAGACTTCGGAAAATCATTTCTCACAGGCGCGCCTTTGACCTTGGAGTAGATGAAGCAGGTGCACTCTGCAGACAATACAAAACACAACGTCAAACACTTGTTCTTGTTAACAATGTAAAGTGTGTGTGTGCGTGTGTGTCGAGAGAGAGTGTTCTGTAATTAGAAAGACAATCCTACAGCCCCTTTAAAATTTCTTTTCTGTTCAAATATAATACATTAAACTAGAATTTGGTCCCTAAAAATTTACCCCTTAAAATTTCAATTATTCAAATTAGTCTCAAGTTCCCTAGCCAGGTTTGTAAGATTCAATGATTGAATCATCCATATAATTAAAATAAGGGACTAATGATTCTTTTATAAGTTAGTGACCCAAAAAGAGTCTTTTAATGATTCTACAACAATAATTTCACTTTATTAGTTTACATCAAAATGCACAAGTTAAAAAAAAAAAAAAAAAAAAAAAACCTTAAGTTGCGATTGTTTTAGTTGGTCCCTTTAAATGCACAAAGAGAAGATTGAGAAAACTAGATTCCATGAAATTTGAATAGATAATAAATAACATGCATCTTACCAAAGGAATTCCTTTAAGCGCTCTTTCTTCCAAATACCTTGATGGTTTATAAAAGTTACCATATAATTGTGCCCATTTTTTTAAGCTGGTATATACATGATTAGCCCCAACCAAATCTGCCCAGAAAACAATGCCACCCCTGCAACAAAAGTGATTACAATGAGATACAAGTTAAAACAATAAATCAGGCTAATACAATATGTAAACAGTTCAAAACACAAGTGCTAGATGAAAGAAATACAAGGGGCACAGTGACACAATCAATTCTATTTATTGCATATAAAAAGAATACTACTGATTACAAACTTGAACGGATCTTCATTAAAGAAAAACAATTACGTTTTGAAACCTGGACATAAGTTCTGGTTATAAGGAGTTCAAACAGTTAGCAGATTGTTGTATCTAAATATGTAATAACTATATGTGATATCTTTATAATGCCCTTTCTTAGTAATTCATGCACTTTATTAGTCCTTGGTTGATACATAATAAGCACAATAGAGTCAGCAGAAAATGTGAACAGATTCTCCCTTTTATTCTTCCCAATAAAAAAAAGTTAGCCTGTGCTGCATATATGTTAAACTGAGAATAGATTGACAATAATATTAACACTCACAATTAGGCAATAGCACCTTTTGCCTTTCCACACAACACATCCCCATGTTTTGTTTTTTTTATTTTGTTGCTGTTCCTTATCAGTTATTGGCCATTTTATTCCTTATTATCAGTTATGCCTCCTTGCTCCCCATTCTTAGTTATGTCAATTTTAAAGAAGGGAAAACAAAAAAGAGGGAAAGCCTACCGGTAAGCTGGGAAGCTCATTCCAAGAACAGATGCAATGTCTAGGTCTGATGCTCGAATAACAATTCCATCTTCTAAAACACGACATGCCTCATTCACTACTGGAAAGAGTATCATCTCCACGATTTCTTGGTCAGTAACAGATATAGGCTGCAAAAGCAACAAACAATATTAGTTTTCCTTCACCCACTGACAGAGGCAATGCAAGGATCTATATTCCATCTATAAGAAGGGAGGAAGCTAAGATTAAATCATCACTTGAAAGGAAATAATGTCAACTTCATTTCAATGTTAATATAGACGGGAGTCTTTATATGACCGCGCAAAACAAAAGCACCTTTCCACTGGGCATAATATTGCAAAGTCTTCTAGACTCCTCAATAATTGGTTGTATTGAAGGATCAGGTTTTGGCCTGCTACCCTTTTCATAAATGTAGTACCCTTTCCCATTGTTTTTTCCTGATAGGACAGAGGTGGCCAAAGACAGAAAGTATTAGCTATATGCATGCATATTGTCCCCTTTACAAAGAAAGCAGGATTTATTCAAAAGAGTATAGATCCAGTATTACCATTTCGCCCACTTTTGATCAAAAGTCCAAGCAGTGGAGATGGAAAAGTGCGATCAGAAAATGCACCAGCAAATTCTTTTCCAGTTGCCACAGCAACTCCATAGCCAGCCAAGTCCTGAAGCCTGCAAGTCACAGAAAGAATGACTTCATACTACAGAGCCACAATGCGAGACTTATGCTGGCTGCCTTACGTACCCATGAAACCATGAAATTTTTCTTAATGCCAGTCATTTATTTTAGCATACGTAGGTGACTTGAGACTCTAAAGTGTGTTTCAAAATCCCACACTTACAAAAAAAAAAAAGTTTCCATAGATAGTTTTAGATTGAACTAGAAACTTCAAGATAGTGGCATAGCATTGTTGATATATGCATATAGTCTTTAATGTGTGTGTGTGTTGAAGTGAGCGGAGAGAGTTCATATTCATTAAAAAATCAATGAAAATGTAACATATTTTAATTGACATATATCATGGAAATACAGAAAACCTAAGAGAAGAGGATTACAGGAAAGGACCCATGGGAAGGCCAAAACTGCTTATCAATCTGTCGATTCTGAAAACGTCCACACCCAAGTTGACCAATAAATGGGCACCTTGTGAATATGGGAAAAATGTTCTATTCACCGCAAAGCCAGTGCAGTTACCCACCACAACAGGAGCCTTTTTTATGATTTTACCAACTGTCATAAGATCTAGGATCACCTGTGCAGAAGTTTTATCTGTCCGTATAATCTCCAAAAGAGGCATAATGTGAGCAGGACTGTACATTAAGAAGTGAAGTCAGAAAGCATCCATTAGTTTTCAAACAGTTATTCACAACAGGATCTTAGTAGTTAGTACAGGAGTCAAATGTAATTTCAATATCTAAGCTTTGCGATATTAATAACCAGAATTCAGAAACTGCTACTTTATAGGGTAAGTGTATACGGAGTTTACCTTCATTTAGGCAATAATATGCCAATTGCAAAAACATGTTTGAGGTAATCAAATGTGCTGAGTTAATTAAACAACTTTGATGGCCTTTTGACTAAGATCAAGTGTGAGACCTCTTCTTGTCATTAAATTAACGATAAAGCACATGAACATGCATTCCAGGGAAAATAGCATATTAGGAAATCTTTTCTTTTCTTTTTTTAAATTAACCTCTGACATGACGCACTCATGTTTCTTTTACACTAGTTTAAGCTTCTAGATCCCTTATATGATATAATACTCTCATGCAAAACATGGGTGGTTCTTCTGGTTAGTCAAGCAAACATTCTGCGATTAAACAAACAAATATTAAAAGGAATGACCTGCTTCCAGAGATTAAACAAACACCCCCACCCAAAAAAAAAGTCTAGCATTTTCAACAACAAATATTATTCATAAAAAACTCTGACGCTCAGTCATATTGTGCAAGAAAATGTTCACATTCTATCCTTCCCCTGAGAAGTAGAGTTATAAACCACGTGCAATTAATTTCTCTCATCAAAGCAAAACAAATAACTTAAAAAGAAAAATAAATTATAACATGATAATCATTATCATTTTCAGAACAACAAATAACCACTGATTTTATTTTATTTTATTTTTAAAATTTTCCTTTTCCCTTTAAAGAAAAGCAACAAGAGAAATGAATTAATAACCTGAAAAAATGAGCACCAACAATGCGATCTCGAGATCTGGACTTTTCACCAATAATGTTGAGGTCAATAGTTGATGTGTTTGTTGCCAAAATGCAGTGAGGAGGACAGATCTTCTCAAGATCACTAAATATAGCTTGTTTAAGACTGACGTTTTCAATTACAGCCTTCAAAGAGAGAAAATTGATGCTAATTAACTTGTAACAGTATCAGCAAAGAAATGTTACATATATCCTCTGTTTATAAAGTACTCAGTGCCATGAAACTTGGAAAATAAACGTAATAGTGAATGTATATAACAAAAACACTTTACCAACTTCTTTAAAAGATCCAAATTCTAATATTCTAAACCATGTCAGCTATTTTCCAAGTAAAACAAAAAAAATAAAAGACTTCAGGCAACGAACCTCAATGACTATATCCACATCTTTAAATTCTGTGTAATCCAGAACACCTTTAAGCAGTGAGAGTGCTCCATCAGCCTTCTCTTTTGTCAACTTTCCTTTCATTACTAAGCCACGAACATTTGCTGTTATACAAAGTGAAATAATATATAATTAAAAAAAATTGTTATAAAATAAACTTACATCTATAAAGGATGAGAGTGGTTCATACTTAACATCAAGGCCTTCCATTTCAAGGAACTATACTGCCAAAGTTGTGATAACAAGTCCATATATGATGAAGAATAATACTTATAGCTTAGAGCATTAATATGTATTTAAATAGCAATTGGGTATATTAGCTATGATGATGTGCATATTAAAGCAACTGTTTGACATAGCAGGTGCATATTACAAAAGTCTTCAGCAAACATTCTGCTTAGCATACTAATTGTATTCAAATCCCAGACTACGGAACAACTCATAGCAACTTGACAACAACTTATCACTGACATCAACCAATTAGTAATTGATCTGCTGTCTTCAATTATTCCTACTTCACTGACATGACTGGAATAATCACCTTCTATCATTTTTATTCCCTTCAGAAGATATTCAGAATTGACTTCCTTGAGTATGACACGAATATTGCTTAGTAAAAGAGCTGTAGCAATGCCAGAACCCATTAGACCTCCCCCTATAACAGCAGCTTTTTTCACATTTCTTGGCTTGAGTCCAATATCAGTTACACCAGGCACCTGCCAAAAGACAGAAAATCAACGAATAAATTAAATAAACCAGAGTCTCTTAGCTCTTGAGTCCAATATCAGTTACACCAGGCACCTGCCAAAAGACAGCAATGAGAAGATGACAAATCTATTGAAAACAAAGCCATACGAAATGTTGGTTTATCAGTTGTTATATGGAACTTATTGTCAAATTCAATGAGGATCACTAAACCTTTTTTGTCTAAGAACATACAAACAATCTTGTTTTCTCTAACAATTACTAAAAATAATATTAATAAGTTCCTCCATTGCATAAAATTATGGAGCAGAGTCAGCTAAACCATTTTTTAATCCCAAATACCTTCAAACTAGAAAATAAATTACTATAAAAAAAGTAGGACTTTAGAAGAGAAAACTCTCTTTATGTTGAACTATAAGCCATATGTCAATAAGTTTTATAAATCTCCAAACATGAGAAACAAATCCAAGTAAGTTTTGCAGAAGTAAACGCCTCAATATTTTTTTGGGGGGGATAGATAGATTAACGCCTCAATTTGAAAGAAAAGATATCAGGAAGCAAAAATATTATCCATATCCAGAGCAAAAATTTCCACTTCCACACATCCACATATGTTACAGCCCTAAGCTTCCCATGCCATCTATTGTTCGCAAGCAAAAGACTAAAAAAGTTCTAACATAAGGCATACTTTAATAGACCTGCATAGCTTCAAGAAGGAATGGAAACACTTCCAAAAAAATATTTCCAAACACAAGAAACACATAATTTACATTGAAATAATTAAAAAACTAAAAAAATTGAAGCAAAGGCCCAAGTTCAGCTATGCTAGTCATCCAATCACTACTTAAGAAGGACGCACTGGTTCAGATTCCGTTATACAAGGGGAGGAAGGTCATATCTAGCTTTGTACCTTTGATATTGTACGCTGAGCAAAGAAGACATGAATTAAACCTTTTGAGGTTTCAGATAGAACTAATTTCTTGAATACTTCAGCCTCCTGCAATTAATTTATAGTTATTAGCTTATATGTAAACTGAATCAACTGATCACAAATCACACAAAACAGGTAGCAAGATACTAGTGAATGCTAACCATGCTATACCTAAAAAAGAGGAAGAAGCATCTATCTCAAACTCAAAAGCAATATGACAAGAAAATGAGTGAATGAAAAAGGAAGGAAGACAACACATGCATTTTTCCTTCTGAACAAAGACAATCATAGGAATAACAATACCCTTAGAACTCCACTGTATCCTCCATGAACTATTCCATGCTCAATTACATCTATGCAAGCCTGTTGCTGAGGCAAATGTGGAGCACTCTTTTTGACATGTTGTCTGGCAGTTCTCAACACCTCACGTGCTTCAGACAGGGAACCAATTTTGTCTGTCCTATGAAGAGAACGAATCCAAGGTCTGCGCCTCTCTCCAATCTCAAGTGCCCAAAGCCGAGATACCTTTAGTAACTCATCAGGAGATACAATGGCATCAATAAGTCCTAGTTTCTTCCCTTCTTCTGACATGATTGGTTTAGATGTCTGCAAGAAATGCAACATTAAAATTAACATGTTCGTAAAGCACCACAAAGTCTATATTCATCAAATTTAGCGAGTAGTACAATTATTTCTAAAACTTTAACCACAAAGTAAGCTCTACAGTTTTGTTTCTCACTTTCTTCTATTCCAGGTCTTTTTACACTGCACGACTCATTTTAAACAATTATTTGGGTTCATCTACTGAAGTAAAAATGCAATGGAAGCTCAAACAAATGAAAATAAATGATCAACATCTTACTAGCATCATTTCAACAGCTTTAGACAGCCCGATAAGCCTTGGAAGACGCTGCGTGCCTTAAAAATTAACAACTTTTGTAAACATTTCAGTGAGTGCAACTAAATGATGAAAAGCTCCTTACTCCTAATCTACATTATTGAATACATGAGGATGCAAATGTAGATTACCTCCAAATCCAGGGATAACACCGAGTGTCAGCTCTGGCAGGCCCAGTTGAGTTCTTGGAGCAGCAACTCGCGCATGGCATCCCTACACAACGAAAAGGTGTTACATTCTATGCAATAATTAAGACACTCAGACAAATTCTAATTTTTTTTTTTTTAAAAAGCATGCTTTCTCAATAAAAAAAACTGACCATGGCCAATTCTAAGCCACCTCCAAGAGCAAGTCCCTCTACTGCTGCAACAACAGGCTTTTTGGAATCTGTGATTATCAAGAATATTAGTTTATAATATTGCAACAGTCATAGTAACAGAAACATCAAGGCAAGTTCCAATCTCAGATAGGCTTAAACTTAAAGAACAGTTACAACTTATAACCTTCAATTGAGTTGACTACTAGTTCCACAGAGACATCAGGGACAAGCGTGATATCCCCTGTCAAGAAAAACAGCAAATACATAACCATAATTTAACTAAATTTTGTATCAAACCCAATTATACTAGACGGATACGTAATCATAGACTTACCAGTTTGATGAACCTTCTGCATAACACTGATGTCAAAGCCACCAGAAAATCTGCCACCTTTGCCTGAATTCAAGAGACAAGGGGAATAGAGCAATTCCAAATTTTCTTACTTTGATGACAATCAAATGGTCATTCAATGCATGAAGCAAAGCCATTAGCATAAAAAAAAAAAAAAAATCATCACACATGTGCAATCTAAACAAACTTTACCAGTCAAAACTATTGCTTTCACATCATTCCTCCTTGCTGCCTCGTCGAATCTATCTTTCAACCCCTTAATAACTAATTAAACCACAAAAAACACACACACAAAAAAAGGAGTAAAATATCACATAAATTGGTACAAAACAACAACAACAACAACAATTTACAAAGATAGAAGAATTGGTGAAGCTCACTTGGAATAGCCAAGGCATTCACGGGTGGGTTGCACATAGTGATGACAGCAACCCCATCATTCCCAACCTCGAAATCAACCTTAACCGACGCCATCTCTGATCGAAACAAATCCCAAGTTCCTTCCTTTTTGAATCAGTTTGATCCTTTTAGCATTAAACTGAAATAGAACCGTGATTTATTGGCACTGCAATCAATGCAATGAAAGAACCCCGTCACTTCGTGGGGTGTTTCGTGAGTGTGACTCGCGATGTGTGAAAGTAGCCAATTTGAAACTTGACTCACCAACCAGGTACGATGTCTGTTACACGTGGAATAACAGGAGGCACAATCAAATGCAGGCATCACCACCATAAGTTAGTGAAACCATAAAAGATGATTGGGCAAAAGTGCACTCTAGCCATTGAAACCATGGTTGATTACGAGGCAATTCCTTAACTACATAAAGTACAGTGTGACAACCATAGGCAAATATAGTCAAATATATTAACGAGGAACATGTTTAGTTGTTCACAAAGAAGGAAAAAAAAAACTATTTTAAATAGAAAGCGAGGAGACTCTAAAGTCGTTAACTACTAATGAAATGAACAAGATTTTTCTGTTTTGCTGTCAACATGTTAAGGGATCGGTATTTCTCGTGTTTTAGTAAATAAAATTATTTTATACATATATAAAAATATATTAAGACTTATATTTTATGTTTCTCTTTATATGACCCATATGAACCTTACACCTTTTTATATATCTGTAGTATATAAAATTATCTAGAACAAGAAAAATATTAATTTCATGTGTTAAACTTTGACTCCAAGTCCTCAGTTTTTTGTGTTTTTTTCTTGTTGAATTGAGCCCCAAACTGTACTAATTTGTCGAGGTCCAATGGAAAGTTAACTCTCAAATCAAACCAACAAAATATTTGGCCATGGTCTTGTGCTTTCATGTGAACATGCCGGTTGTGAATTGCCTACACCACTCTCTCTTTCTACACCAATTATAAACCTTATTTCTAATTGAAAAAGATGAAAGATTGGGACTGGAACCAATTTATTCGGTGTGTATTTAAGAACAACTTTTGTTAACCAAACGTATTCATGTACTCAGAAAGTTGTTCAGCTAGTTTATATATGTGTCTGTGTCACTCTGTGTGTTACACTCAGACTATATGTTAATTTTCAAAATATACATGTTGGAAGCCTGAAATATCTTCATTTTTCATTAAAAAAAAATGAAAGGCATTAGTATGAAAGGCATTAGTAATTATTGGTCTGCACTAAAGTAGTTAAAAATGATAGGGAAATAAAAAATTATAATATAAAAAAATCATAAAAATAAAATAGGCTTTTTGACCCTTATAACCCTTTATTAATTATTAATTACCAAATTGACCTTCATTTATAACTATTTCGAAAATTTAACCTCCCCAACAAACATAACACTAATCTGCCCCTGTTTGACCATTGACCACGAAGCCTACCCGGGTATTTTTTGAATTTTTATGCATACCCGGGTAGGGAGGGGTGTACCCGGGTATAGCTCTTGAAATCTGGGAAATTGCTTGAGTTATTTACCCGGGTAAGGAGGGGTGTACCCGGGTAAATCGCGACGGTAGGGTTTTTATATAACCCAGCAGCCCCATTTCGAAACCCAACAAAGGGGTACCCGAGTAGAGCTGCTGGAGGTGTGTTGGTTGCGCGATTCTCACACCAAATCTTGCTCAAATTCTTTGTTTTTGTGATCATCAGTCCACACACGTGTGAATCTCTGCCTTCAACCGATTGAATCTGCAGCCAAGGTTCGTTTTTTTTTTAATGGTTATCAAATCTGTTCTGATTTTGATATGTTTGTCCCCCCCTCGTTTGAAATTATTGCGTTTTTGTAGTTTGCATGGTTATGTTATATGATTTTCACCGATTAATTTTTGAAATTACTACCCCTAACCCTAACCCTAACCTGTATGTTTCTGATTTTGGTTTTTTTTTTTCAGTTTAATAGTGTGACGCAATGAGTTCTAGACGCGTTTCAAAGCTGCCGGTGGGGAATACCGAGAGAAGAACCAAGAGTGGACACGATGGGTCGTCGTCCTCTCATCCCCAGGCTGCTGTGAGTCAGTCTCCGGACTTGACGTTCGGATATTTGTTTGAGGATGACATAGTTGCTCACGAGAGGTTTGTGAAGTCTTTCATGAGCTGGAGGATTTGCGAGCCGAAATCACTGGATTCGGCCTTCTTCAACTTGGAGCGTTTCGACATTGTGCCGCTTCTTGAGGAGACACATTTACTTGTCCTTGCGGAGATGCAGTGCACATACTCGGAGGTTATGGTGAGAGCCTTCTACCAGAACCTTGGCTATGCGCATGGCGAGCTGACTTCCCGTGTCTGCGGGATTGATATCATCATGACTGCTCCTATCTGGACAGAGCTACTGGGGTTCAATTTTGATAGTGTCACAGGAGCAGCACTATATGATGGAGACATCCATCATATATTTGGTGATTATGACCGGAAGGCCATTGTTACAGAGACTAGGAGGGCAAACGCTGAGGCCGGAATTTTGCTCATTATCCTGTGAGCAACTTGTCGGTGTCTGCTCGCATTCTTCATTACGTGGTGACACATATTATTTTCCAGCGCCCGCATAATCACTCGAAGGTGCTGGAAGGAGACTTTGTCATCTTGTGGGCCCTCCTTCACCGTCAACAACGTATGTTATGCAACACGATACATAACTAATACGATATAGGGTTTAGGGTACCCTAAACAATACAAAACACAATACGAAAATCGTATGTCATTACAAAACAAAGTGCTACATGGAAACAATACATAATCATGCTTGTCTTAGCCTCAATGGACATGTACGAATGTTATGTCCAACTTGCTTGCAATGCTTACATCTGCTCTGACTGCTCGAGGGTTGAGACTCAACCCAATCCTCTCATTCTGAATCCTTGAAGACTTTGGTCTTCCTTTTGCACGTACCAACCGGGCATCCAGAATTACAGTAGGCCCAACAACGGATGGAATCAACAATTCATTGCCAATAGGAAACCAGTGTGCAGCATATACTTTAGCAATGGTTGGGATTTTGAAAATATGATCCACATAATCATAATGGTTTAACTTGGCTACCTTGCAAACTGCTAATACATGACTGCAGGGATACCTCCTTGCTATAAACCTACCACACTGACATGTACGATTGACTAAGTCCACTCTCATGGTGTCACCAACCTCGTGTGTAGATTGATTGTAGGCATCCTCAACCTCAAACAATAACAACTCACTATCATATATCCTCACACGATAAGTGCCGGCCAATTCATCATTTTTTTGCAAAGCTGCCTCAACCTTCTTTGAAATTATCCAACCTTGTGAGAAATCTTTTTCAATCCCTTCACGTCTCTTGACGAAATACTCAACGAGTCTACTGAATGTCATCTTGACCAATGCAGTTATCGGCAAATTATGTGCTCCACGAAGCACCTTATTCACACACTCAGATAGGTTGGTTGTCATATGACCAAACCTATGTCATGTCTCATCGTACGACCTGCACCATTGCTCTTTCGAAATTGCATCCAACCATGAAGCAACTTCAGGATTGTTCTCGATAAATTCCTTGTATCTAATGTCGAAATTTATCTTTGAACATGTGTACCCTGCAACACAACCATGACATATGCAATTGGTTAGTTACGATTAAATGGTTGAAAATGTGAGTAATTATACCGTACATTACCTAATTTCATCAATGTTTTCTTCAATTCCACATTCCTAAAGCGGGTATTGAAGTTGTTTACGATGTGACATAGACAAAATACATGATAAGCATATGGAGGCTGCCACCCAGCGTGATCTTTCACCGCCCTTATGATGTTTCGATGACGATCGGATATTAGACAAATACCTTGCCTATGTGTGACATGAAAACGTAAAAGGCTAAGAAACCAGGACCAATCATCCAACCTCTCACCTGGAGGAACAACAACAAAGGCAATTGGGAGCAGAAATCCATCTCCATCCTGAGATGTTGCAATCAAGAGAGTACCCCTGTACTTCCCATACAGATGAGTGCCGTCAATTTGAATTATAGGCTTGCAGTATTTGAATGCTTCTATGCATTGGTGAGATGTCCAAAAAAACCTGTGAAATATGGCCCTGTCTGTATAAACTCGACGTTCATCAAAACATTGATTTGTATCAAGCTTGAACACAGAACCCACATTCACCTGCGTCATATACGTCAGCCAATTGGGCAAGAATCCATACGATTTCTCCCAGTCACCATACAACTTAACAATGGCCTTCATTTTTGCCTTCCAGGCCTTCCTGTACGATATGTTGTATCAATATATTCCCTGTATTCTCTCTTGAATCAGAGAGGTTTTTGTAGATGGATCTTCATTTAACATATATGTAAAAAAAAAAACACACAACTTTACCATATTCTCAATAAGAAGTTCCACTAAGTAGACAGTAGAATACATACTCATTATAGTCGCACAAATGACATATGAATCCAATTGTCTATAATCCTGTGACAGGCCCTGATTCAGGCATGTGTGATCTTGACCCCATTTACGGACCACCCAATTAGCTCCCTTCTTCGGCTTGATTGCCCTCATGTACCAGGGAGAACCATCGGCATAGTTTTTACACTTCTTAACAAATCTTGACTCGTCGCTTTTTTAGACTATGGTTGTCCTACGCCCCTTCATACAATGTATCTTCACAACATGTTGCATTTCTGGTTTGGACCCAAATTCTTATTGCACAAATAACGGATCTCCTAACTTCCAACCTTCGTGCAAGTCATCATCGCCATATAGGATCTCCAACTCGTCATTAGGGTGCGCCCAATTAATAATGAATAATGTTGGCTTTCATTCCAGAAAGGCTCCACCGCAGTCCCTGCATCTAAAGATCAACTCTCATTTTTCTGAATGAATACCACCACAAATAATAAATTGTCTAAAGCAAATGTTCAAATTTAATAACTTACCACTACTGACTAGGTCGACATGAAGTGGTGACAAGGCTGGGGTACCCAGACTTACGGCGCTCGTGTCAGTGTCAAAATTTCCCTCCACGTCAGTGTCTGACGAATCACCTTCTGGAATAGCACTTTCAGGTTCTCCCTCATCTTCGCTGTCCACATAGTCCTCATCTTCATCCTCATCCAATGCTACCTGAGGAGGTGCAGAAGATCGTACAACTGTATCTTCTTGACCAGTACAGTGTGCAGTAGTGGTTGTATGCACCAGTAAAGATGAAGATTGACCAGCATCAACTTCAACATATATCTAATACTTTCCATTCAACAAACGCATCTGTTACGAACTCCACATCTTCATCATCATTTGTATCGTTACCAATGTAGTATATTGTATCCGTATCCACTACAGTCTCTAACCTGGCTATCATGCGGTGGATGGATTCTATGCCTTATAACCCCATTTTTTGTAGAATTCTCTCCTTCAGTTCATTGCATGTAGTGTCCAGCTTGATTTTCATCGTTTTTGTTTTTCCTTCAAATCGGACACCATTCGGACCTTCAAAATGCCTCACATTGTAGTAAATAACTACTGGAACCATGTTTGGACTTGAACTCATCTTTCACACAAAAATTAGATCTAGGTTTTGGGTTTGGAGGTTGGTTCGGATTTTTGAGCACAAAATGGGAGTCTGGAGATGTAATTCCAATGTCCCACCAAGATTAAGCTTTCTGAAATGATGAGATGAAATGCATGTGTGATGTTTCAGAATAGAGAGGTCAAGGGAGAGAGATTTGGGGGGCAAAACCCCTATACCTCTAAACAATGGCCGAAACCCATTGATATTGGGGTTTCTACACGTGATTTACCTGGGTACACCCCTCCTTACCCGGGCAAATAATTCAAGCAATTTCCTAGAATTCAAGAACTATACCCGGGTACACCTCTCCTTACCCGAATATGCATAAAAATTCAAAAAATACCTGGGTAGGCTTCAGGGTCAACGGTCAAATAGGAGCAGATTAGTGTTATGTTTGTTAGGGAGGTTAAATTTTCAAAATAATTTTAAATAAAAGTTAATTTTGTAATTAATTATTAATAAAGGGTTATAAGGGTCAAAAAAACCAAATAAAAATACTTGTGCAATTAGGGATTGTTGGGCCCAGCCCACAAATGGATAGGCCCGTTAACACTAATCATGGATTCATGGTTCTTTCAGTTTTCAGGTTTAGGGAAAAAAACATAGGAAGTGTCTGTTTGTTATTGGCAATTTGGAGAGTGAAGCTCAAACAAAAACAACAATGGCAACCTCAACCTTAACCTCAAAGGTGTTGTCTAGGTTGTCGTGTCGGTTACAGATTCTCTCTCAAACGAAGCTTGCCAAGCCTTCTTCACTCTCCCTCTCTGCACCACGCCTTTCTCGCACTTCGAGGTGAGAATAACAATACTGTTCGACGCCCCCCCTCCCCCCAAGAAAAAAATATTGGATTTTTCTCTTGTTCTCTCAAATCTGGAAATAAAAATGTTTCCTTTCTCATGAAAATTTTCTGGGTTTTTTTTTTTTTGAATGTTTGCGATTTGGTTAGGTTGCCGGTGGAGTTGGGTAGCATAGGATCGATGTTACCCTTGCATAGTGCGGTAGCGTCAGCACGATTAGTATCAAGTTTGTGCATTGAATCTCTGGGTTGGTGTTTAGTTCCTCAAGGTGAGTTCATGAGTAATGTCCTTGTGGGTATGTGAGATTGAACTTGAGGATAAGAATGTTCTAGAAGCACACTGATTGTATATGAAATTGTGGATGCTGTTTATTTTTCTATTACTCCAAGGGGGAAATGAAAATTTGTATCTTGAGTTGAGTTCTGATAGGAGTTTAATTAACACAATCAAAGATTATGAAGTATTCTTCATTGTTCTTGACAAGGATAAATTCCTATCATTCGATGTTTGGATTAACTAATGATCTCTGAATTCTATTTATACAAGTAGTTTAGTCTAATTAACTAACCATACAACAATAAACTAATTATATCTAAACATGCATGTTTTGATTAAGCTTATTTTGGGGCCAAAAAAACTTTTAATGAAAAGCGATTATTTGCCAAAAAATAAATAAATTGCTTTTACCTAACATGCTGGCTTTAAAACTACACTTTTTTCCCAGCTTTCTGAATATTACATGAGTTGGGTTAGTACACTTTTCCATCTGATTATGAGGTAACAATTTTGATAGCTGAAGAAAAGTAACTTACTATAATGTTTCTGTTTGTCTATTTTACAGGTATTTCCATGCCTTTATGACATTACCTTTCAATGGCTAGTTGGTGCTCAGTAGCATTACTGTTGATGACATGCCAGGGTTCATATTGATGTTTTCCTTTTCTTGCAATTTTGAGGCCTCATCTCTAATATCTTTGAGGATAATTCGTGCAAAATGTTGATTACTTCTTGGACTGGTTCAATTTCTCTTCATACATTTCTAAAAGGAATATTTTGGGTTTTACAAGCTGTGGATGAGTTTTCTTGTTATTTAATAGTGCATTACAAATTTACAATTCCTTATGCCTGAGGATTTAATCCATTTATCTGTTAGCATTTCCCTGATTAATGCAGTTCTGTGGCATTTCTAAATAACAACATAATGCCTACTAAAAAAACAAGATATCATCAACTTAATCCCTACACAAAAACAAGATATCATACAGTAACTAACTTTCTAAGATAAACAACCTATAACTGGTTCGACTGGTTCTGACTCATCACATGCTATTTTTGTGATCAGCTCCTGGTCTCTCTCATTTAATTATTGGCTCGTGTTGCCTTATAAACATTTGTATATTTAGTTTAAAAATGCTGAACATACTTCAAAATCTTCCATTTAACTATTTTTTTTGCGTTCATTTGTGTATTGCTTAATATACATGAGTACAGATCCACAACCTGAAGCCTACTTTGGCATTTCGATGAATTAACTTGATGATATGCTGAGGTCACCCCAACCTCCGTTTCAATTTCTTTTAAACCTATTTAAAATGAAGAATGTGCAAGATTAACTACCACAACTGCATCTACAAAGGAGTTTCAGCACCTGGATCTTGGCAACCATGAATTAATAGGGGAAGAGCTAGAAGAATGAATGAATGAGAAGAATGAAAGAAATAAAGAAAGAGAAAGAAAGAAGGAAACAGAAGGAAGGAAGAAAGAAAAAAAGTAGAAAGAATTCTTCTTCTACTACTACTGTTTCTTTCTTTCTTTCTTTCTTCTTTTTCTTTTTGGCAGCCATGTATATTTAGTATCTTGATGTTTGATGTTCTATATCACACGGAGATATGGGAAGGTTATGAAGAACGAGGAGAAACAAAGAAAGTGAGAAAGAAAGAGTTCACTTTGTGATGTTAGTATCTTCATGTTCTATTTCACACGGAGATATGCAAAGGTTAAGGTGTCCAACTAGATATTTGGCTGTTCAATTTATCGCAATTAAAAGCATTTTCAATAAATAAAGAAGGGGTTTATGTTTCTCACATAAAGTTTATTATATGACTTAACTATTTCAATGGAAGAAGGGAAAAAGTTTATTAGTGTTGGCATGAAAAAGTTAATCTTTAATTCTTATCAAATAGCTGGAAAACGGTTCTGGTTCTGACACATCATTCTATGCAGATTCAAAATTTCTTTTTTAACTGGTATTCTCATAATTAATCAGAATGTCAACGAAAAGCTTCTATATGAAGCACACGTTACTAAAGGTATAAAAAAAAAGAAAAAAAGATTGAAGTTTCTTTATTTATCTAAACAAGAAAAGGTCTTTCAGGCCATTGGGTTGTTTTTAAGAATTGCATTTCCTAGCACTGCTGTAATCTATCTGTCACATACTAATCTTCTGAACTAAATATTGTTGACTTCATTAGCTTAATCCTCTTTAAAATAATCATTTGCTTAATTGAGACACTTGGGCACATTTTCATTTCTTCAATGTGAGGCATCCTTTACAAGTGTGCTTGAATACCTACATCACGTGAACCCTTGCATGTGGTGTTTAATCCAAACCAAATGTTTAATCATTTATGTGCCATTCAAGATGTGAGATAATTATTGATTTTGTTTTTTCCACATCCTTGTTTTTTTTTTGGGGGAGTCAGATTGAGACAGTACTATAGTAAAAACAACACAATATTGTCTTTATCAAAATCAGATGTTAATCTCAATCAGCAATTCTAAGCTACAATTGTGCATAAATGAATGTAATGCTATAGTACTAGTGTCAATGTGAAGACAATATTGTCATTACCGTTCCTTTTTAGATATGAGCTCAAAAAAGTGAAGACAAAAATGTCACGGGACTGAAAACTGTTATTTTGCGTGCTTACTATTTTGGCTGTAATATCATCTCTTTATTGAGTTTTTGTTTCTTTCATCATGTCACAAGACAAGCCTCCACAAGTAACATAACCCTCTTTGCGTCACTCTCTAATAAGTTTGACAAAACTAAAGCATACATCCACAAATCTCATTCAAAAAATAGACTAGATAAGGAACTTTTGTGGAGTCTATCTTTGCCTTCACAAGTCACAACCCTTGTTTCTTCCTCTGAATCAGTAACAAGAGCATGGAGGTGAGTTTCAAGTCTTCTTCACATGAAAAACCAGAAGCTGAGGTTGAGGTAGAAGAAAGCATGCGCTTTCTCAAGTCTCTTAAGGTTCATATCCATGTACTGTGTTGTACTCTTTCTGTTATTCTGTAGTTTTTTCAGTTAAGTTCCATCTTTTGGTCATGGTGGTTGCAGGAACTAAGAGAACTTCGGTCTCAGCTTCACCATGCTGCAGATTACTGTGAAAACACTTTCTTGAAAAACGAGGAGAAGAAAGAGTGAGTCCTTTAAACTCACCACACTTTTACCAATGTGAACCTTGTTTTCTGCCTTAGGCTTTAGGCTTTAGGCTTTAGGTTTTAGGCTTCAGCTTTATGCTTCCATCTTTTCCAGTTTGCTATCAGGTTCAGGATTCATCCACCTTATGGGGGTCCATGTCTATGTGTCAAGATATTAGTCGTTTATTAAATGAGCTCTTGTTATCTTTGATTTTCTTTTCTTCTCTTTTTTTGTGTTGAATAATTTGCGAACACTTGCGTGGCCTGTGAGAGGCTTTGCTTAGGGTATCCCTGAAGCTGCACAGCCCATATCAGTAAAGACTTGGGCTTAGAAGTTCATTATTACATGTTGTTTCGGCTCTAAAGTTGACTCCACAATCCATAGGCAGGCACAAGCACAAAAGCTTAGGTTCAAAATTGTGCATTTGTACTAAATGTGTGCTGACATCAGTAACTAAAAGTGACTGTTTGTCTCAATAGGTGTAACTCATTTTGGAAATACAGCCTGAGTAAGTGAAGAGAAAATCTGTATTCGGTTTTCACCAAATATATTTTTGGAGAGGGCAAAGAGCTTCATCGATAACTAATCTCCAACTCGGGATTAGTCCCATAATCAATTAAAAAAAATGAGTGTTGGCTAAATGGTTATATCTCAATTAAAAAAGAAATGCATTTGTGTTGAGATATATAGTCCCACATTGGTTGTATGTGCAACTAATGTGGAGTTTATAAGGTCTTGAGCACTCCCACCCTTTGAGCTAGCTTTTGGAGTGGTGTATCCCAAGGTTCTTTACATGGTATCAGAGCCTCGCCGACCCCAATGTGGGACCACTCACCAATCAAGTCACTATTGGGTGTTGGCTAAATAAGTAAATAACTCAAACCAAATATCATTGGCACAAGTGGTAAGGAGCTTGTGTCCATTAATCAGAGGTCACGTATTCGAGCCCTTGAAATGAAAAAAAATGGTCTTGGAAGAGCTGCTCCCTTTATAGGGTCCGACAATACTCGAACCAGATTAGTCCGAAGGATGAACTGGTTGAGGAGATTAAAAAAAAAAAGAGTAAATAACTCAGGTATGCTTAATTAGGAAGGAAGCCAAAAATATGAAGAAGTGTTATATATTGTTTAACTCTATATTATTGTTGTTGTGATATTAAAATCCAATATAATTTGCTTGGAAATCCAAAACACACTACTAAAAAATTTAGATTTTTTTTTTTATCTTGTTACCCCTTTTCTGTTATTGTGCTTTCTAATTTTTATGAAAGAGTTTGTTTGGTTGCTGGACATGTTGACCCGTGACAGATTGGAATTTGTGTACCTCTTGCAGTGTGATGGAGAACACAAAAGAATACATATGCAGGGCCATGGTCACTGTAGTTGATCATCTTGGAAACGTCTCGGCCAATCTTGAAGGCCTTATTTCTCAGACAAACGCATTTTCTGAGGCTGAGTCACGAATCCAGTGCCTCAAACAAGTTAGTATTATTACTTTGCACTTACCCAAAATATGCATTACAATATGTAATCTGAAACTTACGAATCTGCATAAAATAGAGGGTAACAATATTCTCACGCCAATTTTTAACATTACTCTTACAACCAATTATGTTAGCTAATAGTTTATCTTTACTTTGCTGGTTAATTTGTCTTTGTTTTAAGGGAAAGAAGTATCTACTGTTACTTTAGATAACTTTGTCTATTGTTCATCGAAACAACGTTGTTTTGGGGTTGAAAAATTTAAAAATTAGAATGATAAAAACTATTATAACCCTAAAATAAATTAAAATTACAAAAATACCATGATTTCTGTCCCAAAACGACGTCGTTTCAGTAAATATTAGATAAAATTATCTAAAGTAACTTTAGAAAAAAACAAACCCTTATTTTAATAAGTAACTTGCTAATAACATAATAACTTATAAACAATTTATGAACACAACATAATATATAACTTGCTACCATAAGATTTATGCAAAAAATAATGCAAGAATATCATTATCACAAAATAAATGCTTCAGTGGGGTTGAAAAAAAAAAATAGACTTAACATAGTTATAGCGAATCAATAACATTTACTAAAGATGGTGCTTTTTGACAGAGACTTTTCTCATGTGGACAATATGCTGATAAGCTTGCCCTCACAAAAATGCGATGGAGGGAAAAATTGCCAAGATTCCATTCGCGTTATTTATCAACACGTAAATATTCCATGTCACCCCTTGATTCTTTTAATAAGGATAATTATTTTGCAAATCAATTACATTATACTGTTAGTCCATTACTATATATCCATTTATCTCATTTTTTTCTCTTATTTTTTTTTTTTTAAAATTGCTTTCCATGATCAGCACCCATCATTGAGAGATCAAGCTCTGAAAAATTAAGGTACCTCTTAATTCCTCAATACACTCACAAATCTGACAATGAGCAATCTTTGACCTTATGTTTTCTTATTGTCACAACCAAGAAAAACCATGCTTAATATGGCATTGTTATTGTTACGAAAGGTCGTACTTACCACTATTTTAGACTTATCACTCTTAGTACTAATTTGGTTATTATTGGGTCAAATTAAAATCAACAGTTGAAAAAAAGAAAAGAATAATTGCCGTTGATTTCAAAATGATCTAACGATAACCAAATAAGTTATAAGAGTGATAAGCTTAAAATAGTGGTAATCTTATTATTATTATTTTATCCAATGCAGAGATTTTGAGAGTGAAGTTCCTTCAAAAATAGAAGATAAACATATACTAGAGACACTGGAGGATTTGCCACTTTTTATGTACACCCAGAAGCCACATGCAGCTAAGAATTTGAAGCCAAAAACTGCTACAGTTAACGAGCAGAACAACTTGGCCATGGGTAGCATATTCCACTATTATGTTATATTACTATGTTCTTCTGTATAACTTTATTTTGAGTTGCATCTCTAACATAATTTTCTTTTCATCCTAAAACTATAGTGTTACCAGTCCGGGATGGTTTTTCAGTCCTAACAAAAGTTTCAAATCCTACATTTCATTTCCAAGTGAGTTTGTCTTCTATACTCTTATCTGTTTCATGTTCCTGATGCATGCTGCGTTATAAACTGTTTTTCTTTTCTTTTCTTTCCCTAGTGATAGATATTCTAATTTTGAATGGCTTAATTTGTTTGTAGGGTACCCACAAGGTAGCACGCCATAGAAGATCCTTGCATGGAAGTGACATCTTATGGCTCATAAGGCGTACTAAACGAACCTAATGAAAAAACTGGAGAGCCTATTGCTTCATGTGTTAGTCTTGAGCACTCAGTGGTTCTGTTGGTTTATCATTTTCACGTGGTAGTTGTTGCGCGTTCGGCAAGTGTACCGTTAGTTCCAAGTAATAAAATGATAAGTAGAGTATCGTCTCCACGAGGATTGAGGCACTGAATTTATTATAACTATTCCTTTCTTGTCGGATTAATAAAATTGGTATTAAAAACAGTTGTGGTTTGTGAAAAACAAGAACAATTAAAGATTGTAAAAATAGTTTCCAGTTTCTTTTTAAATTCAAGAACAAAAGATTAATGGTTGAGAAAATAATTGAGAAAATATTGCGGTGAAGAGACGCAAACACTTTATGATCCTCACCTTGTAATCTGAATTAATGTATACGTTTAATTTAACCATTGATCAAACGATTCACCATCTTTTAAATGATTAATTAAGCCTTAATTCCTTAGTAACTTTAACTTTATTAACCCTATTAGAATCCTAATCCCTTCAAAATCCCTTTTCAAGTTAAGCCTTTGAACCAGTGAATCCTTAATGTTTGCGGTTCATGTAGCCTATCCCTAGTGCATACATGAACAATTATTTTCCCTTTTGTCAGGAATTAGAATCTCAACATTCCTATTGAAAACCCTAACTCTCGCAATCCCTATAGAGTGATCGGTTCTAAAAGAATTATGAGATGAAGAACAAAGGAAAATAAACTCAATTGGAATAAACAAATGTAAAGTCAACCAAACTACAAGGAGTTGACATTAAGGGTTGTGACCCTTACCAAAATAATAAAAGACTACCCAGACATATTAAATGTAAATGAAAATAAAACTCTGAACCTAATGAAGAAGAATAAGGTGATGATCCTCAGTCTAATAAGAAGATCAGAAGCACTAAGAAAAGAAGCTCTCAGTGCATCAGAAAACAAAAATTGATCTTATGGCGCGAATCACGCCATTAACGCCATTAACCGCGCGGTTTGAGCGGGACTTGCAATTTGGACTTCTCTCTTTTCGCTTCTTCTCGATGTTTCCTGCTGTCAAAATATATAAATTGAGTGAGAGAATGATTGAGAAAGAATAATCAATATTTATAACATTTATGAACTATTTTCAACCATTTATGATTCAAGACCCAAACATTATTAGCAAGTATTTGTATTTTGAGGCACTTTGAGTTGTTGTCTTTTGTAATTTTGGTAGGAAAGATCATTGTGATTATAAGGATTTAGATTTAGCACATCTTAATTGTCATCGTCATTGAACTCAAAACTTTTGAATGTAAGTGCAACCAACATTTAAATGAGCTGAAAATGAAAGGAGAAAGACAATGTTCCTCTGGTTGTAAAGAATTTACAACCAGTGAAACAATGACACGATCTAAGAGTTTGACTGACACAATGTACAAGCCTGTTAGTCTAAGAATCATAAGAGCCGATATATACAACTCCAATTTCCATGGAAGGAAGGAAGGAAGAATACACAAGAGTTTCTACTTAAGTAGGGTCCTGCTCCTACATAACCATGGCCTCAGCCTGAGTGTTTACATGCATTGTAACTGTTTTTTCTTATCTGTGTTCCAATTTTTTTTCTACTCCCTCTTCCCTTTCTTGTTACTGATATTAGTGTCGAGCTATGGGACTTCTTAGTGTATTCAAGTACTCAAGCTTCTCCAAGTAGTAAGCTTTCTTTGGAGTTGCCAATTTAGGAGATTTACTCATACCCTTTTCATCTTTTTCTTTCATGTAGTTTTCTAAGTCTCCAGTAGAGTTAGTCTTCTTCATATCACTCCCTCCCTTGGTTGAACTCCAACCCATGAAATCTGAGAGTGTCATTGAGGGTGGTGTCTCTGAAGAATGCAAGTTGCTCGTCTCTTCCCCAGAGTTTGGGGACAACTGTTGTGCCACTTGTAAAGAATCTAATGAATATCTCCTGCTGCTCACTGCCAATGATGGATTCTTTGTCATTGTATCAGCATATAAGACATCATCAATCCTTGACAAAACTGTGAAAGCCAGGCTCTCTATTACTCTTGAATAGCTCTCTAGAATGGCATGTCCCACATCCTGTCACTCATTTTGAAAGCAGTCAAATTTCGTTAGTGACCATATAATTTGAAGATATGTAACATGAAAAATTAGCTGCAATGTTGTTTTCACCTTGTTATATTGGATTTTGCTGATGTCAAGTGAAGATTGTGGAAGTCCTGGGAACTGCTGTTTGATCATCAACAATATTGTTTCTGCTCTCTCCTCAAAGAGTTCCCTCTTCTCCATGCTCACTGCTGAACCCCAGGAAGACTTCCCATCCTTGTTGTTCATCTTCCTTTTCCATATCACTATGGAAGCTTCAATCCTATTCTTGAGGTCAAGCACTTTGTGCTCAGTGGACATGTCCATTGTTGAGAGAAATTGCCCAGGATCAAAGTATTCCACAGTAATGCTCTTATAGATTGATTCACCAAGGCTTTCTCTACCATTCTGCCAAAGACATGAAGGAGAAGATTAACCAAAGCTACAAGTTTTGAGTTCTGATGAAATAAAAAATAAGCCAGTTAATTTTTTCTTGGTCTAATTGTATTACCTTGGGGAGAGATTCAATGTAGTTTTCAGGGATCGCCATCTCTGATAGTACTTGGGCATTTATTGCCATGGCTGCTTTAAGTACTTGGTTAACATTATCCTTCTGGGACTGTATCCATTTTCCAGCTACTTCTGACAACCCTGTTGGGGGAAGTTTAACTTTTGGTATCCACCACTTGTCACTCTTCCTTTGGGTGTTAGTGTTACCCTCAGACTCCTCTTCATTTTTTGAGACATACCGGAACTCATTTTGATCTTTAAAGTTATCTAACGTGTCCTGTTCCATTGCTATCTAGTTAGTCCAAAATGGGTGAAACCAAGCCATTTGAATAGGGATTCAGAAAAGAAAAAAAGAAGAAGAAAAAAAACAGGTTTAGCTACATACAATGAGCATTGCATCAAGCTTGCGCAAGGCAGGAATGTTCATGAGAAGATCAGTTCGTTGCCGAGTAGTCATGATCTACACATAATGTCACAACATATTATTTTGTATGACAATAGTGAAACTAAAATTTTTGGACATCCAATTCCTAATTATATCATATATTAGTACTACATGTGAAGGGAAATGAAGGGGGTGGAGGAAGAAAGAGAAAGAGAGACATAATAAGGCTTTCTACCTCCATAGTTTTTCCATCCTTTCCTATCTGTTGTGATGGAGCAAATTCAACAATGTGATCAGTCACAGATAGAAGCCACTCAATTTCTTTTTTCCACCTGGCCTTCGTTTCTGGAGCCATTGGCTCTAGCTGTTTTTGTTCTCCAAAAGCAGATGCTGCATTGCATCAGAAACAATCAGATGGAAATTTCATTAGAGAATACATTTCAGTTAGTCACACACTGAAAAATATACATGTGCTTAAATTTGAATTAAGAAGGCTACACTATCAATTCTTGTTTCAGAAATCAAACCCCATATAACACATGATTTTAAACAATGCTTCCTCTTCTGGAAAAGAAGAAACCATTTCAATGACTACCAAGCTAGTATGAGCAATAGGAATAGTCAGATTGGGGAGAAAAAAAAGTATATACCAGCCAGGTTCGTTACGGCATTTGACAAAGCCAATGCTGAAGAAACACCATTGCCTGCACCTGACATGTCTTCTCCCAAAAGTAGCTTAGCAAACCTTTCCTTCATCAAGTTGGTTTCTGATTAAAAGCACAAAAAGAACTTTTAGCAACTTATGGGTGGTCTTTCATGAACATGCAAAATGAATGAATTTTTACATAGTTTTATTAATGATCTTCTGCTAACTGCTAAGCAACACATGATCTTATCAAATCACATTCAGGGTGATCATATAGATTTAACTACAATCTAAAATCCAGGCACTTTGAAGGGCAAAAACTTACCAGATGGTGGCTTAGGAGGAATTCTAGGTGCTTCACCACCCAAGTTTGCTGCTGGTATATGATCACTATTGAGAACAGATGCTATTTGCTGAAGTTCCAATGGCTGATCACTATTATATCTTGACTCAAAGCTTTTTGAGTACACCTTATCATGTTCACCTCCTTCATCATGATCCCTATCAAATAAACCTTGAATATGCTTCCCTGGGATCTCAAACATCTTCTTGAAATGAAAAGACTTGGACTTCTGCATGCTGCTTTGGTGATTAAAAGCCCGAACCATTGTTGATTAGACCTTCTTTGAGTTGCACCTCCTTTGTTTTATAAAAAAACAAAGGAACAAATAATTGGGGTGTTTGAAATGTTGATGTAGAACCTGGCCTTGAAGCAATGTTTGTTGTGTTCTTTCTTCTTGATTGGGTTTTAAGAAGAAAAAAATGTACTATTTGATCAATGAGAGAAAGATCAGAAAGAAGGGAAAGCAAAGAGAACCCCTACAATCAAAATGATATGTTAAAAAGAATGTCAGCAAAAATGCCTAACATGAATAGATTAACCCTTGTTTCAATGAATTGTGGTGTGCATGACTGAAGCAGAAAATTGTGGGATTTGTTTCAGATATGGTAAAAAAGGAAAAGAGAAATAATCTGTTGAGTTTGTTTTATGAATGAATAGATGAGAGGTTAATACTTGCCATTGATTCCCACAAATGACCATGAAAATCTTACATACCTAACTATAGCATTTGTTTACCTCCCTTTGTTTCTCTACCATCGCTTTTTTTTGATTCTAAACCATTGTTCTTATAAAAATATCACATGCCAAAAATATAAAAACAGATTGAATAAAAAAAACTAACAATGAATGAGTGTGTAGACAGAATCAGATACCTTTGATGGTAGATAGATGAGTGTGCACAAGACGTGACAAGCCAAGAGAAAGGGTTTAGAGTGTGCACAAGACGTGACAAGCTAAGAGAAAGGGTTTAGAGTGAGTGTGTACCTTACTGGTTTAACCCCTTATTTATAGATGGATGAAGTGTATTTTCGGGCCTCTTAGGAATATTGGAAGCCCAAGTCCAATTGCTTAGCTGTGTAGACTTTTTATGGTTATTATCTCTTTGTTGATTTTGAAATGTAATTTGGATTAATTGACGGAGAACCACATAATAATGAGTAACGGATAATTGTAAATCATTGATTCCATGCAAATGATTAATCAGGCACACTCAAAAGAGATAACACACAATCAACGCACACTCAAACATAATCATGTACATTCAAAAGAGATAACACACAATCAACGCACACTCAAACATAATCTAAGAAATAACGAAAAAGTAAATAACTAATAATTATTGAAAAACCTTAAAGTATGAAAAAAAACCCAAAATTATTGATACTCGTGGCAAAGTAATAGGTCTTGCTCATAAGCTCTTTCGAATTGCCTATTCAAATTCAAACCTAATCCAAATCAATCACTCAGGTGCATCATTCTTTATTAGATTATAATTTTTAATATAAATATATATATACACACACGCGCAGATAGATTTTTTTTCTACATGATTATTTTTTCACAAACTTAATTTTTTAAACCAATATTATATTTCTTTTTCTAAAATAATCTCTTTTAATCATTTCTCTAAATTACACCATTTAATTGTAAATATAATTTCTATTTATTTCCTTCCCTTCTAAGTATTATTATTTCAATTTATTTATTTTATACTATTTATTTTCGTACAAGATAATAATCAAGACTTGCATATTTATAGTTTGCATGACATGTAAATCGTAGTGAAGAACCAGATATCAGTATAATATTTTATTTAATTTTTTCCTTAATTATCTCTTAATATTTTATAAAAAAATGCAATTTTTGTGCATCTTATTATATTTATTTAAAAAATATAAAAAAATAAAAAATTGTCTAAATAGATATCACATGTAGGGATGTTCATCAATCGATCCAAACGATTCAAACTGCGATGACCGAACCGAAAAACCAATAATCGAATTAATTGAAAATTGGAAAACTGAAAAAAAAAACATAAAATATAATTGAATTAGATCAGTTTTCGATTTGGTTGGAGAAAATCGATCCAATAATTCCCCCAACCTTACCCTCTACCTACTTGAGCCTATTTCCCAAAGGTGGATTATGCTTTATGCTTTACGAACATTTTATCATACATCAAATTAAACTTAATTTTCTCTCTTAAATTTAAATATATAATATAAGATGAATTAATTAATTATGGGGCAGGATCATCTTACACCGGTGTAAGAATGATAAGTCTTACACCAAATCTTAATAATTGATTTTCTACATCTAACGGTTAAGATTTATTAAGTCTCACTCATTAATTAATTTTTAATTCTCAATAAATCTCAACCATTGGATGCACGGAAATCAACGGGTTAAGATTTAGTGTAAGATTTATTATTCTTACACAGTGTAAATTGATCCTATCCCATTAATTATATATATATATATATATACTAAAAAATTCCCCCCTTCATTTCGTCGATCAGAAGGCTCTGCACTTTGTTTTAAATAAAAAAATAATAAATTTTGTAAAAGATAAATTAAATTTATCAGTATATCAATTATTATTAACTTAAGTTATAACTTTTTATGTTAAGATATACATTCATATGTATTATATTTGAATTATTATTAAAAATATATAACTTAAAAAAAAATCAAATATAATTTTCAAATTTATAATAACTTATCAAATGAATATATACCTTTCACTTCGTACATATAATTCTTACTTTTATATGTAATATTGAAAATTTTAAATTAATTTGAATAAGTAAAAATTATCAAAAGTTAATTAATTTAATTTAATTTAATTAATTAGTTTCCTTAATTTTATCCAATCAATCCAATTGATTGGTTTCTCAAATTTCAGCCAATTAATGTAATTAATTGATTTCCTTAATTTTGGTTAATCAATCCAATTGATTTGTTTCCCCAATTTCAACCAATCAATCCAATTAATTGGTTTCCTTAACTTTGGTCAATCAATCCAATTGATTTGTGAGAGATGAAATATGACAAATGATGTGTCATTGCATAGATCGCAAAGAATTATGTAAAGTAATATACAAAACCATCTGATTTAGAGATTACGAGATAACTAAATTATAAATTTAAAAAAAATAAAATCATAAGTTATAAATTATAATTAAATCACATAAAGTAATTACATGATGATTATGTTTCAAAAGAACGTTAATCTAATTGATTGGTTTCCATTATTTTCTCCATCTTCTATAAATCAAATTTAATGACTATATTTAAATTCAAAATTCAAAGTTAGAATTCAAATTAATTTTATTAATTTAACAATTAAATTAATTAGTTTACATCATGGATCAAGTCCAACATGACCCATGATGTCACCTACTCTCTCTTGGCCCAATATGTGAGCTTTTCCAACTTAAGCCCATTATACCTTATTGTGCCCAAACCACATATACTAGAATTGAAGACAACTTAAGGTGTTTGTGTGCGATCCATTAGGCCCATCATGTCCACTGTCATAAATGAGCTTGGGCCCATAAGGTCCAATCCATCTAATGACAACACAGAGCACTAGCAATGTTTGTTGTCCCAAAGCTAGTTGAGTTCAATTCCCTGATCAACCTGTTATACCTACAGGGGTCCGTGACATGTAAAAGTAGTGAAGAACCAGATATCAGTATAATATTTTATTTAATTTTTTCCTTAATTATCTCTTAATATTTTATAAAATAATGCAATTTTTATGCATCTTATTATATTTATTTAAAAAATATAAAAAAATACAAAATTTTCTAAATAGATATCACATGTAGGGATGTTCATCAATCGATCCAAACAATTCAAACTGCGATGACCGAACCGAAAAACCAATAATCGAATTAACCGAAATTCGAAAAACTAAAAAAAAAAAAAACGTAAAATTTAATTGAATTAGATCAGTTTTCGATTTGGTTGGTGAAAATCGATCCAATAATTCCCCCAACCTTACCCTCTACCTACTTGAGCCTATTTCCCAAAAGGTGGATTATGCTTTATGCTTTACGAACATTTTATCATACATCAAATTAAACTTAATTTTCTCTCTTAAATTTAAATATATAATATAAGATGAAAAATTCCTCCCTTCATTTCGTCGATTAGAAGGCTCTGCACTTTGTTTTAAATAATTTTTTTTATAAATTTTGTAAAAGATAAATTCAATTTATCAGTATATCAATTATTATTAACTTAAGTTATAACTTTTTATGTTAAGATATACATTCAGATGTATTATATTTGAATTATTATTAAAAATATATAACTTAAAAAAAATCAAATATAATTTTCAAATTTATAATAACTTATCAAATGAATACATACCTTTCACTTCGTACATATAATTCTTACTTTTATATGTAATATTGAAAATTTTAAATTAATTTGAATAAGTAAAAATTATCAAAAGTTAATTAATTGAATTTAATTTAATTTAATTAATTGGTTTCCTTAATTTTATCCAATCAATCCAATTAATTGGTTTCTCAAATTTCAGCCAATTAATATAATTAATTGGTTTCCTTAATTTTGGTCAATCAATCCAATTGATTTGTTTTCCCAATTTCAACCAATCAATCCAATTAATTGGTTTCCTTAACTTTGGTCATTCAATCCAATTGATTTGGGAGAGATGAAATATGACAAATGATGTGTCATTGCATAGATCTCAAAGAATTATGTAAAGTAATATACAAAACCATCTGATTTAGAGATTACGAGATAACTAAATCATAAATTTTAAAAAAATAAAATCATAAGTTATAAATTATAATTAAATCACATAAAGTAATTACATGATGATTACGTTTCAAAAGAACGTTAATCTAATTGATTGGTTTCCATTATTTTCTCCATCTTCAATAAATCAAATTTAATGACTATATTTAAATTCAAAATTCAAAGTTAGAATTCAAATTAATTTTATTAATTTAACAATTAAATTAATTAGTTTACATCATGGATCAAGTCCAACATGACCCATGATGTCACCTACTCTCTCTTGGCCCAATATGTGAGCTTTTTCAACTTAGGCCCATTATACCTTATTGTGCCCAAACCACATATGCTTGAATTGAAGACAACTTAAGGTATTTGTGTGCGATCCATTAGGCCCATTATGTCCACTGTCATAAATGGGCTTGGACCCATAAAGCCCAATCCATCTAATGACAACACAGAGCACTAACAATGTTTGTTGTCCCAAAGCTA